ATCTACAAATTCGGGTATGTTCAAAATCGGGTCGACCTCGCGTTCTTTTTCTTCTACTTCTACTTCTGCATTGCCCGTCTTCTTTTTTGTGAATTCTACTTTTTCTGCTTTTTTGCCTACCAAGATACCTCACGACTCCTCGACCTCGACTACAGGCTTGCACCCTGTCACGTCGATGTCTTTGGGGTCTAGTTCCATGGAATCGTCTGCGATTTCCATATCTGCAAGTTCAACGATATCCCTGGGAGGTCTTCCCATTTTTCTTAATGTTATAACTTCTAGTTCTACTTCTCTTGGATACTCGTCTACAGGAGTGCCTGTTTTTAGTTCCACTTCTGTTGGATATCATACCCCTTCATCGATCCACGTGTCTGGTCCTGGTTCTAGTTCTGGAAACCATGATACTTCCTTGACTTCGGAGCCCACTTCTAGTTTTGTTGGACATGATGATGTTTCTGTCGTATTGCCGTTGCCGTTGCCTATTTCCACTTCCATTGGATCTCAGGGTAGCTCCGCAATATCAATTTCTAGTTCTTTGGTCAACCTTCCTAGTAATGTTTTTTCTTTATCAGTTTCTGGCTTAAACTTATACTCGGATTCAGGATCGACTTCTACCACTAGTGCTCAATCTCGATCTCAAAGCTCTGAGACTTCTCAAGTTGCTACATCTACAACAGAAGCTTCCACTTCCGCTCCTCAAACCACTGAACCATCTTCAGGTACCACTACCTCCGTCCCCGTGACTACAGGAGCTTCTACAAGTGAGGCCTCCATTTCTACCAGGGTATCGACTTCTCAGGCCACTGCCTCTGGAGCTACTACCTCTGCTGCTACCTCAAGTTCTACTACAGAGGCTTCCAGTGATAGTGTTTTGTCTACATTGACTAATTCTGCGAGCTCTCTCGCTACTGATTCTTCTTCTATTGTGGCTGTAACTTCAACATCTACTAACATAGCCGAATCCACAGCTTCTTCAGACGATACTACTACACAAGCCGCTGAAGCGACCAGCAGGAGAACAACCAGCAGTACCTCTACCAGAGTTTTTACCACAACACTACCCAATGGATCCCTATCGACCGTCACGTCTGTCACTGTCGTGCCTGCTATAGTTACTGGATCTCCCGCTAGTTCTTCTAAGACCTCTACTGGAAGTGCATCATTACAAACCAACAGTGCTGGAAAGAATAACTTGGGAATCAACATGATTCTCGGTGCCGTCGGAATGGTGGTTGTTGGTGCATTATAAGCCAAGTAGTTGGGACGAATACAAGAAATCGAACCAGAACTCTTTTGATATTTACACATTTGCATAGCGTCGGTGTCGGGTTTTTACGGTCACAAGTTTTATTTAACTATCAGTCTCTCATTCTTACGATCGATCGTAATGACTTGACACGAATTTATCATCACTCTTTTAGAAACGGACTTTGGATTGGCGCATAGATTGGAATAGCCCATCACGGGATATGTGCTTTGCTTCGCATAATTGCTGGGAGAAATTGGTTAAGGATCACATATGGTTATTATACATTGCATGGGAAAGTCATGGGGATATCTATTGATAGTAAGGGGCGGACGAAATGCATTATGGTTAATACGGTGGAAGTGGCAAAATAACGTGATAGGAGCTTGTGGAGGAATATGAAAATATACACACAATTACATACATATCATTGACGCTCCCTTGTGTTTAAGAATTGGTTGTTAAATTTGAAGAAGTAGAAGGGGGTGTGTTCAAGGACTTTTCTGTTTTCCCTAGCTCAAAGACTTTTTGATTGCTCGTTACGAGATTTCTCCTGGCTGTACAGAAATTCGTGGAGTTATTCTATGGTTTCGGTATTTTTGTATCGTCTTCATTGCTCATCTTGATTCTTCTTTATGGGAAGATGGGGAGTCAGTTTCTGGGACCCAAACCCTTCCTTTGCTAAAATGCTTCACTGGAGGATTTTTTCCGTCTCACCGATGCCATGGCTGATATAGGCACAAGGGCGACTTGATCGTGCAGAGAAAGTTGACTCAAATCTCCTCGTAATGCACTCGTTATAGCTAGTAAAAGTTTTGAAACTGTTGATTTATAATAGTATGTAATTATAATATTTCATTGGTTGGGGTATATGCGCATCTCTCTCCCTCTCCTCCTCTCTCTCGCGCGCGCGCGGTCCATTTATTATTTCCGGTTGTGCCATGTGATCGATTATTGAGACAGAATATTGAACATTGGAATTGGAATTGGATTCGTGGGTCCGGAAACCTAGGTTGGTTTGCATCTAATTCCGTTCCTGATGTGATGCTTGCGAGTTTGGAGGGAAATCAAAATGTAATAAAGTCGAGTAAATTAAAGTCAAATAAAATCGTATAATCACTGATAATGAGTGCCCTCGTGAAACTCCGTAAAACTCCCAAGACTCCCCTTCCTTCCTTCTTTCTTTCTTCCCTCGAAATTCGCAAATGATTTATGTGTATCTGTGTGTATGTGTATATGTGTATATATGTTCCGAAGACAAAGAACGCATTATCCGGGTCCAATCTTGGGCATATCGTGATGTTCACTTAGAGTGCTGAGATATCTGTTTAGTTCTTCGACGCGCTCTTTGTGGGTTTTGACGCCTTCGCGCTTGAGGCGGTCGTTGAGCTGTGGGACGGGGGTTAGTGTATTACTTGAAGGAGGGGGGGAGGGGTTTGAATGTGGAGCTGTGTGAAATGGGAGGATGGGGAATATAAATGGAGATGTGAATGAATGGCAGAAATAATAATAAAATCAGGAATAACATACCCTCCTCCTCCTCATCTCCTCATGCGCACGCTCCGATGCGGTTTTCCCAGATGAGTCGCGGGGATCAAGAGATTTCAATTGTTCTTCGCTCATTCCTGTTTCTTCGGGAGTGGGCTTCGCGGCATCTTCGTCTTTTAAGGCTTTTTGAAGTGTTGTAGTGGCGGTGGATGGAGATGTTGAGGTCGTGGGGGGAGTAACCTTCTTCTTCTTTTTCTTTTTGGTAATACCGGCGCCAGTGGAGGCGCCTTTGAGTTTTAAGCCCCCGCCGGTGAAGGAATAGTCGTCGGGCATGTTGTGGATGGGATGGGGGAAGTTGTGGGAAGGAGATAGAGAGCTGGAGATGGATGGGATGATTCGATTTGGTTGTAGAATCATGGGAGGACGGAATAATTTTTATCCGGGTATCGGGCTTGTATATCAGTGGCTGTGCTGTAGTAACGTCACGCATCAAAGGTTGTTAAGGTCTGTTGTGATAGATACTCATAGATATTTCCTAATGCTATGAGAAGGCTTTATTACATTTATTTTGATACTTTGCTTTCTTTTATTGATCAGTTGCAAGGATCTATCCAAATAATCTAGAAGTATGTTCTACAGATTGAACCCAACCATATTAATTGGCTTCCCAGAGCTCTTCTTCTCTCAATTTTCTTTTTCGGACAATCTCCTTTGGAGACCCCATGAGATGCCAGAATTAAAGACTGAAAGTTCATCAATGAAGATTTTCCATTCTAGCTTCCTAATTCCGCCTGCTTTATTGGGTTTTATCCCAGAGGAATTGCTGTCAAAGTCTGAATACATCTCTTCGTGCTTGGTGCGCTTGTTTTTTTAATAGAGATTTGGCCAGCTTGCACAAAAGTTGCTTTCCCCTTCAGACCATGATTTGTATAACATTTTAAACTTCCATTTGGTATCTACACCTGCCCTATTCATACCTATCCTTGAAGTAAGGTCAGAAGTAAGCACCAAGGACGGTCATCTTCGAATACCTCTATGAGTCTTCGTGATTGCTCAGAAGACAAGAAGTATCATGAATACTCCTATTCTCTAAAGACCCTATAGCTCCTTGAGCTCTTTCTATATGTATTGAGTCATATAAGACTCACACAAAGGGGACTATCAATATCTACAGATTTACTGATTAAGGCTTGAGTGTTCGCTTTTCAATCACTGCGCTCATTGCATAATTATCTGACACCAAGCAAAAAGAGTGATGTAACTCCACGAGTACGATGTGATAGTGAGTAGCCAAAACTATTGATGTCCCATTAATTGCAATAAAGCCTGTGGAGTGTAGCTGTGTATATGATGCAAAATTGAAATCGGAGCAAAACTGCAATCGCATCCTCATCACTAGCGAAATTTCGTCATTGTCACTAATCTGTAGTGAACGCTTCATTTTTAGTTATTTTTATACTCTTTGGAATGTGTATTCCGTGTTTATGTTCTACTGAAGATTAGGTTTCAAGCATAGGACCTCATGTTTGTTAGACACATCTAGGGGAAGGTTCGTCTTCCTTTTGTATCATGGTGTTGAATTGAAGAGTTTTCCTATCAAAGAAGCTCAAAAGATTTTACATGTGCCGTGTACTCTCTAGACCATCTATTCTTCATGATATATTGATATCACAGTCACAAGCAGATATCCCGAATGAAACCCCCTCTTATTCAAATAGTCCACCAATAGACTGTAGTACTTCTTCCATGTATATATCACTACTTCGCTCTGGGGGATACTCTAGTCGCACTCGATAATCCATTCACCTATAGGAGCATTATGAAGTAAAGAAGAGTTATCCCCTCATTCTTTCATTCAAAACAGTAATCCACTTATAGATATTCAACTAGACGCATCACTCAAAGAACTTTTCAGATTCACAAAATCTCTCGGGCTACATTCGTATATACCGGCCTACTATTCGCTATAGTGAACTCCCGGAATAGTGAAATTCACCATGAGAAATGCAAAAAGTGGTATGACTACATAGCTCAAGCAAGTTTAACAGATAACTAAATTGTCAAACTATCAAAATATCCAAACAAGTCAACTATGACTTTCTGATCACAAGTAACCTGAGTAGCAATCCTCAGCAACCGATCACATAAAACACCAAAGCCAGGTCTTCCCCCTACTTCCCGAATTACAAAAAAAGCCAAATAGCCAACTCATCTAGTATCGACAGCCTTCATATACCAAATCGAGCCGCCATTAACTCTAGAGATCATGTTCGCATCGCCCCCACAATCTATCTACCAGAGTAAACTCTCTTCTCAACAGCCCAGCATGGAAGATCGCACTAACATGCCCGAATTTTCGGATACTAAAGAATCTCCCCTATCACCCTCCAGTAATCTCGAAGTGATCGACTCATCCGACAACATTCCTTTACCAATATCCAATCTTATAAACGACAGAAATGTGCAGCAAACTCCCTGTTCGGGGCCTTGTCCTACTAGTCGAAAAAGCGAGCCATCAAAACCTGCAGAGAATCCTATAATCACCACAGCAGATTCATCACCTCCTCGTCTCGAAAAAGAACTCCACCCGCTCGAGGAAAACAAAAACAGAACATCTAATCCATCTACATCTCCAGACCTTCCTCCCCACAATTTCAACTCCACAGCTCCAAAGCCCGCAGAGCCAGACTCTGACTCTGAATCCCAAACCCTCAGCGAACATAGTTCCGGCTCTGACGCAGCTTTTTACTGTAGTATAGGGAGTCCGAGCGAGGATGAAGAAGATGGGTCTGGTGCTTCTTTGGTTCTTGGGGCGGAGGCGGAGGGGGAGGGGGAGATAGGTGGGGAGGGAGAATCTGGGCTAACGAAAAAGACTTTACGGGAAGCTGTGTCTACGTCTGGGACTGATGTTGCTGCTGACAGTGGAGGTGCAGAAGATAAAGAAGAAGCAAGAGAAGAGGAAAATGAGATTCATAACAAGAACAGTAAAAGAAGGAAATCGGAGAAAAGATTTACATTTTTGAAGCGACTTTTTGGTCGGAAGAAGTTAAAAGTTAGTAGTGGAGATGCTGGTATTGGCGGGGGTATTTGAGTATGTGTATGTGTGTTGAGAGATAAAAAGATAAAAGATTAGGTTTTCCTTCCAGTAATGAGAAAATTGTAGTTTGAATGCCTTTTGTCAGCAAAACTCCCCCATCTCGTAGATTTTCTCACCGGTGACCTCAAGGTGTGCAGTATATTCCATTGGAATAGAGGGCTTAAGCTATGGCTGATTGTCTAGGAGTATCCTTAATCTAGAGATGAGTTTTCATAATTATGTATGCAGAATCATGAAATCAGTGAAATCTCGAAACATTACAATGTACCGAGATATTTTACGTGCGTTATTTGCTGAACTTTGTAGCGGTTTGAATGAGCTTTTGTTGGTGGGAAGATTAGCATTCCTACATTTGTAAAGACTTTAGCATTGACTAAAATATACAGGTTTTTCGTTATATCATACAGATACACAAACCCATCTCATACGTAACAACTATCTAAGGCTACACATCTAAGTCACATACCATCCACCATCCACTTCTAACTCAAATCATATACAGTCAACCTGCTATCATATCAATAGTCTCCCTTCAAATGATGATCTCGAATCGTTATAAACATTTAGTATATCGAAATATCTTCAATTTCCAACTTTGAAAAGAACTCGAAATCCTTACGCCGGAACGAAAAATGTATGTACTCAGGTAAGTAAATTAGCCGAACCTCCTACATCTACATGGCATCTATCGAAATATTACCTACAACAGTTCTCCTCCCAGTCCGAATCCGAGCACTAAAGAATATAATTGATAGAAGCTAGAATCTTATTGATAGGTATATAAATTTAACCACGGAATTGACTACTCACCTACCTACCTACTCAGGTACCTCTGTGATTGAACACCTGCGTACTCGTCTAATCTATAAGGAAAGAGAAGAGAATACTAGTCGTGCATGAAACAATTATTACCTAGCTACTCACCTACCTACCTACCAGCCCAACAACTCGATACATCTCAACAAAACATCTCTCAAAATTCCTCCCAATATTAATCCGCATACATAATTCTCACCACGAATACCTAGAATATGTCTGTCTGTCTAGACGAATATCAGATAACTCAGCTTCGATGTCCTATAATCTATCTTTACAAACCAATGAATACTAAAGCCACATAATTCTGACAGGAGGAGCCAATAACCTCACGATTAAATATCATCTACATCTACATCTATCTAATATCTATTTCTCCCCAATTCCCAGCGCGGATAAGACTCATCGCATCTCATTCATCCCATTCATAATGTATCACTCACTAGATAATATTCCATCAATATCCACTATCCAATTTCTACCGAGGTACTCACTCCATCGTAAGATGTCATTTCAGGAACCAGCTTTCCATCCACCTATTAATTTTTTTTTTTAACTTCCTGAATCTACAAATAACCAATTGATAGCCCCATAGCATCGAGAGGACTAATTTATAGGTATTATATAAGAGGTCGGCTGTTATGATGAGGATAGTTAATATTCTAGTTTTAGCATAGACTATGTACATTATGCATATAGGAGACGAGATAATCACATCATGACTTTGTGAAGGTAGGCGCTAGTCGGTATTAATTTTCATGACTTCTCCATGACAGTATTGAACATCTGCTCTAGTTTCTCGAATTGAAGTTGAAGTTTAGCGTTATTGAACATACTGTTGATTTTTAATTGGATTTATTGGATTTCTGCTTCAAATACAGCATTCCCAGAACGCGACAAAACTGCTCTCTAGACACCACAGAATAAGCAGCTTATGCCTTCACAATCACACCCTAAATACATGTAGATACCCGCGACAAATAAGCAGAAGTTGAGATACCTAGACAAATCTTATTCCTCGGTTCTCAATACTGTTGTGAAGAATCCTAGGTTGATGTACTCTTTATAGTATACAACGTATAAGTAACCATGCCATCTAGTGTCATAAATCTCCCAAAATTTACCATTCGAAACATGGAGAGATTTGGGTTTGAAAGGTAAACTATTTCTTTGGAAACATCTCATGTCTTTTTCAATAAGGTAGCATAAGCACAAATAAAACTGACGCTAAGCAGGGCTTGGATCCCTCCTCCCACCGCAGCCCGTGATGCAGATGTAGTACTATAAACGCAAAACAATTGTTTCCCGTGATATGTTTCCTTGGGTCAACCCTTGGATCTTCAAATTTGACATCTCTGGATCCTGTGAAAGATTTCATTATTTCAGAAAGCGTTAGGAGAAAGCAGGCAATTCGATCGAGGAATATTCCAAATAAGGGAATATCGACAAGTTTCAAAAACCCAAAAAATTCATGTGAAGATATGCGCACACCGGTACTACTCGAGAAGATGTGTGAACTCACCATGTCACTTTATTCACATGAACAAACGCGCTGTTGGAGTACGGAAGTGAAAGAAGGAAGACTTCTGGCTTAACGTCTATGTAATAAAATGCTCTTGATGCTTATATTTTCTCGTGACGGTATAACATTCGGTGTTTGATTAATGAATCATCATCGATGAGGTTGGCCGTTGACTCAATTGACCGTACTACGATTGATTGAGTGTGGAATATATGGACTAGCAAGTAGTATGCTGATTTGACACCACTAGTTCCTCGGAAGTGCCAAAAGTGCCACCCGTCATCGCTGATTCGACAAAAGACACTGTATTTTAGTTTACTAGTCATCAAGTCCAAGGCGTTGAATATATCATGAATTCAACTGGTGAACAGCATTCCAAGCAGACAGAGTATCAGCCCAAATCTCCCAATGACCAATCTTTCCCTCCTCATCAAATTCACTCAATCGATATATAAATTGTTCATCCCAACTTTTTCCCGTCTTCGAACTTTTGAAAGTGGCACTTCCGACAACACTAACGACACCTTTCTTCCCCTGAATCTCGCACGTCTCATCGACAATAAAAGACTGTGGCGAAGGAAATGTAGATGGTGAGGGTTGGAACTCAAGGGTTCGAGATAGAATGTTGAAGTAATCGTCGCATGTTTGATTATCAGAGGAATCGCATTTACGACCCGAGAATGTTTTACCTAGAAATGGAAGTTCTGAATTCTCAGGCCCATGTTCTGTGATTCGAGGTGATGAAGAGAAGTGTGAAGAGAGCATAATTTCAGGCGAGATTCCGTCGACGAACGCCTGACAGAATGCAACGGCTTCTTTTCTCAATTCCTCCCTGTTGAGAGACATACTATTCAATTCTAGGTATTTTAATTCATGGGCGATCAGGATGACGGATTCACCGTTTTGGTTGGGATCCTTGAAATCGGATGGTGCTTGCGGTGAAGCTACTCGATTGCGTGTCGTCTAGTTCAACGCAGGTAGCCTTGAAATGTAATTTGATGCAGTTACCTAGTACGAGAAGACCCCTTGTTGGAATGAAGCGGTTGCAGCTTTGGTGAGCATAATACTGGGATTTCCCCGCTCTAGGTCGATGACAACTATCCCAATACGAATGCCGAGGTGACATTCGCCACAGTGAAATGATGAGAAGCTAGCCGATCATTGTGAATGCGATGTCGCGCAATTGCTCCCAACGTCGATCATCGTACAAGAAAGATGTCGAGTTTAGGTTTTATCTGTTGTTGAACATACGGAGGTAGTAGGTTCTGGTAGTTGATCGACAAGTTTTGTTGATTAGGAAGATGAAATTAGTGCCACGTATATCTTTAGACATGATGGATGAACCGTGACAAGATTATTGGTATGCCAAATACTGACTGACAAGAACTAGATAGAGATGACTTGCAAGACTCAGGATCTTCCAGATCATCCCAGTATTGACAGCAGTTTATGTTGGAAGTGCTGACTAGGAGAAGGGCAAATTGGCAGACATTTCACGTTATCATGACCAAGTATGACAGTATTGTAATGCCTTTGCAATGTATATGAATTTTCAGGAAAGTTTCTAGGAGAATCGTTGTTCCTGATTAGACGACAAGCAATTTGACATCAGAATCAATGTGTCAACCCAAGGATCCTCTTGTAGATTTCGGAAATGCCAATGTAAAGCACTAGAAGGTTTATTAGAAGGTTGGAAGCATTAATTAGTGTTCACTATCTTTTTTGGAATGCTCATAGCTGATGACAAGAACCGGCACCCGAGTAGCTGTTAGCACTCACAGGGTGTGAAATTAGAATAGTCAAAGGGTCCAACGTGGGGTGAGGGTGTGTTTTCAGTGAGAAAGCGATTCACTTTATCATAACTCATCTCAGTCCCAAAACATGTAACCTTTCTCCCTTCGAGAAGGAAAACTGGAGCTCAGCATCGTATTATTTCCCTCAGGCCAAAAGGACATTCCTTGCTCACCCTACTTGACGTTTACCATATTTCATATCCTAAGGTTATCATCGTATACTTTGCCCAGGTGGGTTGTTATCAAAATACCAAAATCACGTTGGCGTACCTACGAAGCACCCAAGTACCCCTCGGCACCCCACGGGATTCTTCATGAAACTCAATTACATGTCAAAAATAGTACGCCCCTGAATGTTTGATGCTTGATATCGCATTGTGGAAGGTGGTATGAAGGGGATCTTACATCAAAGGTCTCACAATTACTCGGATAGGAAACACCAAAGTCAATCCTCATATTGATCTTCCATGCATGTCGCCACTGTCCACGATGTCTAGATCACAATTTACAACACATCGTCCGAAGTTTTCTTATTTTACGCCCAGCCTCAGTGTAAATCAAGTATAAAATGACTATTAATACCTCTGACCTCTTACATATGGGCCCTTAATAAGGTTGTTATGGTTCAATATTAATATTTGATGAACAGGCAGTAATGCATTGATTGGGCTTTTTTTAACGCGTTTATGCCCAACCAGCCACTCGGTAAGGGAGTATATATCGATTATATGATTTATATCGAATCAGAGAACAATACACCACATTCCCTAGCACCGCAGCTACGGGCAATACCAATCAATAACAATACCAATACAAATGATACAAATGATCCAATGGATTCCATTGTTTCCATCCTCTCCCTTACCATTCGTCAACCTGGGGGGCCGAGAAAGCCTCATACCATCATACCATCATACCATCGTTGATAGACGCCCCGTCACCGCCCCGGAGATCTCTTCTTCTCCATACATACCAAGGGCTTTCCTTGTCCCATCTTCCACCCACTCTCCGAACTCCCCATACTTTTTATGCCATTCGAATTTCTATCTACTTTTTTTCGGCGCTTGCCACGCTTGAGATCGGTGGTTGGTGTCGGTATTGGTCCTCTTCCAGGTACCTCTTACATACTTATAATTTTACTTTATGCTCTCGTCACACCTTGTTCGAGATCAAGAAGGATGGATATAAATTGCCCAATAATGCCTAATGCAGCCACAAAGTACTCCGTATACCGAACAGCACAGCGGACAGCATCCCACTGGCTCCGAGGTCTGTCCTTGCCAATACTGTCTGGCTTGTCGCATCGCATTTCGCGATAAGATTTCTAATGTAGCCTTTGCGGAAAGAGAATGAGCGACGTCGATCTTTGAGCACCGAGTAACTTTGTTTCGAGGGAGCATCCTTACCAAATTCTTGACAATGCACTTCTCGAGGGCCAAAAATCCCAATCTTCCATCTGGAAACGGGCTTTCCTGGCAGGCGGGAGATTCTCAACGATTCTCAAAGATTCAAAGATTCGAAAATTCAAGATCATTGGGAGCACAAGAATCCCCAATGCAGTTCAAATCATTGTTCATCCTAGGTCATAGCTCCCTGATTCCTACTAGGTATTTTTCTTGATTGCCCTATCAGTGCTTGGAGGGTCTCGGAGTTTACTGTCTGATATGTCAAATCTTTACGGTAAAGCTTCGAGTGAGCTTCAGCTGTATAAACCATGAATTTTTGTCTATATAATAATCGAATTCCCTCCTACCTCTTCTTCCATTTTTTCCCATCAGATCAGATCAATTGATAGCATAAAAGCTTTGTTGTTTCAAAAATTATAAAACCCTTGGATCACCTGGCATACTCACCGCCCCTGTTCCTGGATCTGGATATCCTTGCTGGACCCATTAATTAAATCGTGGACAATCAATCTATCATACCAATATTGGAGCCATTTTGCATTTAATTGTCATCCGACAAAGAAGGACCTATCTCTAATTTCCATCTCATTTCTTTTTCATATAGTATCGTACAAGTATCAAGTTTCCTCTTGACTTGGGATTTGGACCTGGAATTAAAACTTGATATCTCAAAATGATGGCATCCAGAAGAAGTATTCACATCCAACCGGAATTTAGTTATGGACGTACGATTCCTACGAGTCTTCCGGATTCGTCGAGAAGGTATGCGACAAATTTGCAAATTTACATGATCAAGAGCTAACCAGCAAGGACCACATATTCCACCGGCAATCGCGCGAGTTTCGATGGTGGCTTTTATCCAAACAGCAGGTAAGAACGCATGTATCCCAAGTTCGGGACTAAGGAAGCTGAAAACCAACCTCAAAGCGCATCGTATGCCCCAGATCTGAGTGGCTCGTCTTACAACCCTATTACTGCACCCATGACCTCGAGTCCTCTAGCCCGCCCGGACTCAATTTATGGATCGAATGCTTATAGCGTTGGTTCATCATCAAATGTATATGGAACCGCAGGACCAAGTTATGGTTCTTACACAAGCCAAGGTCCAAGTTGGGAGCCCCAAGGCAGAGTCTCGCCCGAGACGTACATGGACGATTATGCTGCATCTCCCAGCCCAACGGATTACACGCTAGACTCCGTCAATCGGTCATCCGGAAAAGCAAGAAGTGATGGGAAAGGCCATTCTCAAAGACGACCATCTAATAGGGACGAATTTGATGGACCCCATCAATTCTTACAACGACCACCCCCGGAATACATTGCCCAGCAGGAGAGAGATTTGCCGCATCTCCCCACAAACCTTGTGGTACAGGAACAGGATAGTGTCCTAAATAGAGTCAATGATCGGTTGTCACAGTGTGCTTTTGACTTTGTGGCCAAGTACCAGTTTCCTATTCCTCTGAGTGACAGCTGTCGACCTGTGGAACGACCCCAAGATCGTGAATGGACGGAGTGGGTGTACCTTCTCAAACGTCTCGCAACCAAGAGACGCATACCCGCCCGGGTATTATATAATGGCCAGATAAAACAATTTGTTACCATCTTGGAAAATAGCCTGGAAATGAGACATGCTGCAAAGCATCAATCACGCCCATTAAAGGATGATAGGAATATCCTCCAGCTAATTTCCGCCGGGATTCAGGTAGCTAAAATTTTGAAGGACGCGGAAGCTATGTCTTACCTAGACCGGTTGTACGTTACGACAGAACAGCAGATTCAGGAAAGGAGTGCAAGCCGCTTTCGTCCTTGATTTCATGCCGGAGGGATTTTGCCTCGGCTAATGACTTGACGACTTTTATGTTGTATGTTACCCACATTTAGGCGTTGTTGGCTGGCTATCTTTAGGCAAAATTTTAGGTGGACGGACGGATCCATTCCTGCTCTGACACAGCCTTGCTATGATTATTACGGGCGTTTTTTGTCTATTTTTGTATGTTATTACTTTGTGCTTGGAGCCTGATGGGCGTGCGATCCGGAATGGATATCACGATAATAGGACAAATGCACCTGCCGAAATATCACTACGCCCGAGAACTTAGGAACCCGCTATCCATAAGCCCTGTAATAGGGATCTTTAAATCGGGAATCTCAGATGATACACGCTGATAATGGAAGTCTCGGTGGGTTGCAACGCATGGGAACAGAATATAGAAAAACTTGCTTACTTCGGGCTGTGGCTGACATGTTTCTTTGGGGGCATTTCTGATGAATGGATGATTGAATGAATGATAGATGGATGGATGGATGGATGGATGGATGTAGGAATGGAAATTCATATTTGGGAGCGGCAGGAATATCACATCACATCACATCACATCCTTGGAACTGTATATCCGCATGTACATGCATATTCTAAGCACTACACCGCGAAAGCAAGAGAATCCGGGCGTTTTTGGGGTTTGTGGAAAAATTTACTCCGAGGGGATGGGATTGGATAGGCTTAATTAGCTAGCTATCGCGTTGGGTTGTTATACGTTATACGTTATATGTTGTTTGTTGATTGCTTGCTGTATGTATGTATTGTATTTATTGTATGTATTGTATTATCATATTATATTCGTGGCATTGTTGTTGTTTGGTGCGGAGAGTGAGATGGAGGGAGGAGAGAGGAGCGCGTGCGTGTTGTATGCGCGTTCTAGGGGGTCGGAGATGGGGAATGGTAATCTGATGTATGTATCTATTTTATCGATATGGATTGTTGAGATTAGATTTCGATTGTGGCGAGTGTATTGAATGTTTTCGATGTGAAGTGATGCGATTGGGTTGTGCTGGGAAGGGGTATGGGATGAGCTGGATATATGCAGAGTTTGAGAGAGGGAGAGGAGAGCTGAGGGAGAGAGAGGCTTCGGGATTCTATCGTCTGGGAATTTAAGAGTATCAAGAAAAAGAAGGGAAAAGAAAAGTAGAGAAAACATAGCGGTCTTAGGGTGAGGAGGGATGGGGAAGGGTATGTGAAGTGTAAAGAAGAAAGGGTGTAAAGAGTGCAAGATATTTTTTGGTGTAGATAGATAGATAGATAGATGTATCATAAACCCTAGAAATAGCTATACACCAATCACCTGGGACAAGCAAATGAAGCAATCATATGTTGTTTTAGGGCGATTGGGTGAGTGGGGGGAGTGCAAATGTGAGTTAGTAAGCTATTGTATGTATGTGTGTAGTAGAGGAGTAGGAAGTGGAATGAATACTAGTGATTGATTCTTTTTAGGGTACCTAGGTAGCTAGCTAGATGGTAAAAATTATGTGGATATGATTCCTGCCGCTTGTGATGTGTATCGCCAGAGCCTGAATCAAGGTAACGGAACTATGGGGAAGCACACTCGGGGCGAGAGGGCGCGCTTCGCACAACCCCCCCCCCCCCCCCCGAGCTGATACCAGCTTTCGATGATATAGCTTTATGACTTTCAATCAAGTTATATTACTTCTAATCATGTAATTTTTGATCCTGTAATATTATATAATCAAAGCTTCAGCCAATCAAAATTGGTTCAATGACCATTCATCATCTATTGGGATGCTTAAGCTTGGATCGTCTTGTGTGATTTTGGGATTCACTCAAATTGTTGAAAGAGTCAATTAGTTATGGATGATGCTGAAATCCTTCCACTACTACTACTAACATAGTAGTTTCAGCCATACCGATGAATACATGAACTGACACAGCACATCTCAACTTTAAAAATTGATAGCAAATTGATTCGAATTCATAATCTATATCTTTATTATCAGATCTCAAAGTAATTAAACTGATATTTCAAGAGATTTTGCTAAGCTTGAGTCAGTGTTGGCCATGTTTTATCCGTTCGTGCACCCACTAGTGTACCAAAGCCATGCTCATCATCTTGTCACGAAATCTCCCACTGTGAACCATAAATCAATTGTCAGAAATAATAAGATCAGCAGCTTTTTCGGCGATTCCATAAACGGGCATTTGAAGATGTTCTCCGATGAGGGAGGGCATCACACTTACATCTGCGACTCGAAGACCGGTGATCCCGCGTACTTTTTGATTTTTGTCAAGTACAGCCAGAGGATCGTCTGTTCTTCCCATCTTGCATGTTTCGACTGGATGATAGCCTAGGAATGGGATGGGGGTTAGAGTTTGTTGAATGGGGATTTGAGGATTGTAGATAGATGGATAGACGGATGTTGGGGGAAGTTAGGATGATTTCCAGAAAGAGAATACTTACATGTATCTGCATTAGATCTGATAACCGACATCCAATCTTCTCGCGTATTAAAACTATGATGATTTCTAGACCCTGGCCATGATCCAATCACAATATCCTTAGTTCCTGCCCCCTTCATTGCAATTTCATTCGCCATGCGACATCCCTTGATGAATACGAGCATATCCAACGGATCTTCGAGATAGCGGTGATTCACAACAGGGTTTTCCGTAGGATCGCTTGACTTGAGACTGCCTTCACATCGTGATCGCGGTGCGAAGAATTCCGTAGCCATTGCAAACGCATACTGGCCATCTGGGGGGAAGTCCCCGAACATGTATTTTGGACTGTAGCATTCTGGGTTCCAGAATTCGACGTGGGGTTGGGTAGGCGAGAGACCCATTGGATCGAGACCTTTGGCGCGGGGAGCGGAGTTCCATAGGTAAGAATCTGCTAGTCTGGAGTCTAGACGAGCAAATGCAAAAATTCCAAATGGGAATGGAGAGAAAAACCCGGTTTTGTCGGTTTTATACTGAGCCAACGACTTGTCTCTTTCACCGGGGTGCCAAATAAGATGGTCGTTAGTGAGAGCTGGCTTCGATAGTTCATAGAATGAAAGAACAAACTAGTCTTGAATTAGACACAAAGCAAGTCTTGCGAGGAAAGAAAAGGTATCCCGAGTAATCCATAAGTCAATGTAGCCGTACGTATCGAATAAATAGAAAAGTATGCTTACCAAATGATCCATCAAGTTCTTTCCGACACCTGGGAGATCTGCTCGGCTTTGAATTCCAAGCTTCTCAACTCTTTGGAGCCGATTCCAGACCGGAGGAGGATTATTGGACTTCCATATGTTCCTGCTGAGACGATTACCTCTTTGCGAGCTTTCATGAAAGACTTCTGTCCGGTGATATCTTGCAGGAAGACACCGTTAGCACGTAACGCACCAGCGGTATCCGTTTCAAGATTGATGCGACCGATATAAGCGTTCGTCTTTGTTGAAATACTTCCCTCTTTCGTGAGAGTTGTGAGATAATCTGTAGCCATTGTACGAGTGCCTTGGGAGACTGTCCGAACAGCATGTCCGCAGTCATGAGCACTCTTGCCAGTGCTAAACATATCTGGAATCAAGGGTAATCCTATTGATTGATATGATTCGAGCACAAGATTTGAAATCGGTGCTGGATCATAGGGAGGTGTGATGATAGGACCATTGTATCCATGTGCATCTTTCTCGGCGTCAAACCATGGCTTGTTGTGGAATGTCTCAGCCTAGGGGGATGTTAATAAAATCTAGCCATGACGGCCCGTTTTGGGGCGATGTGTAAGGCGGGTCAATCAATTTGAATGAAGTTCTCAATCACGTATGAATAAATTACAATGAATGAAGGATAGTTTCGTACCTTTGACATATATTTAAACATCTCATCTCCACTCCATCCTTGAAGACCTCAGTTATCGTAGTCTTGTCGATTCCCGCGAATAGTCAGTGTGCCGTTACAACCGCTGCTTCCACCGAGAACCCTTTACTTCAGAATTAGATTTCACAAGCCAAAATTAGAACGTTCAAAACCCCCACTTTCCCCTCGCAAGATGCAATTGACGATTTTCGAGCTCTTCACAAGGCTCACTTTTGATGTTCCAGTCGGCTTCAGTCACAAGTATCTGTGAAACTCTATGACAATTAAATTATGTCACATGTGAACTGTCATAGACTTTTTGAGACTTTGTTCTTACGCAGCAGGTTTTGTAGTAGCGGGATATGTATCATTGCTAGCTTCGGCTTCAACGGTGAGAATAGATACAGTAGAATCGTATGCAAGTCGAGCTGCGATTACACGGTTAGAGGTGCCCCCAATGTATGAGTAATTAGTCAAATTGTTCTATGGTATCCGAGAATTAGCGGGAGAAGACAAACCCGCAGATAATGTAATCATAGGTTTCGTTAACAACGAAGCTCTCTTGATGTGCCATTTGTGGCGGAAGCCTTAGTAGTGTTTGGGGAAAGGAGAGAAAAGTAAGAGATAGGAATTCTCAGCTTTGAGATCGAAGAATATGATAGGGCTTGGCTGAAATATGTTGCATCAATAAGCTTTCAGTAAAATGACATAACAAGAAATTGCAACCGTGGGATAGAACAACCAAGGAGACTATCAACAGTTGGCCTATGTGGCCACTGTGGGTTTCTTACTTCAAATACCTGCAGCTGTGCCGGTTTCTCACATGAATGGAGCTCGGAACTCGGGAGATATTCAAATTTATTATGTGTTGTAGCTTCCAACCTTGTGATGGCGTCGCTCTTTGAGTGACATATCCCTATCCGGGTAGCAATCGTCAAGACATGGTGCTTTGATTTTGTAACATACTCGTCAGAGTATTGGAAAATAACTGTACCGTGTAGAGGAGTTTTGATGTCTAGAATGAAATCGTTAGGGGTGCGGGGCTTCTTCTGTGCCGCATGCTTACCAAATTAACCGCATGTACCAATATGCAAAGCTGATTCGTTAAACTCAGGACGTTCGTCGTTTGGTATTACCTGAGTCCTATATACGTGCTCATGATAGCACTTTGGCGGCCTTCTCCATGAGGTTTTTCCTTCACCTAGAGAAAGTCTCGGCAATCTCCCAGGGCAATGCACCCTTAATTCAAAGTAGCAACAAGTAATCGATTGATTCTCTCTTTACCTCTTGATCCAGTTATATAACTCAGCACCATGGCTATTGTCATGAGAATACACCATATTATATTTTGCTTCGCCTGTAACATATTCCTCTAATTTTTCCCACTGTAAACCTTTCAGGTAATGACTATATCTCAATTTAGCGCTACTGCTACTATCCAATTGCGAAAACATGCAGTGTTCTCTTTTGCCCAGCGCTCCAAGCGAGTCTAACTTTACATTGTCAACCTTATTCTATTCTCTTATCTCTTCATCTGGTTGTCCGGCCAGGAAAACAGTTACACCTTGCATAGATTTAATGTTTTCCATACCATAATGTTTCTCCAAACACGGAGTAGTAGCATGCATCTTGGAGCAGCAAGCTAGAAGTACTTATTCCAACGTAATATATACACATGTCTAGACTTCCCACTAAGACTACCAAGTACAGTACATTATAGAGAGGAAGAATCTGAATAATCATACTCAGAGATAGACTACTGGACACCTTTTACAGACCTGATAATGTTATTTTCGAAAGGAAAATTTTACAGAGTAACTATTGCCTCTTGTCAAATTTGGTAAAAATGATTTGATCAAACTAGTAATTATAACATAGTACCCCGGATTCCGTATCAAGAATGTCCTTGACTTCAATATCGGCAATCAATTCTCCCATTAGCAGAAGATCTTTGACTGACGCCTTCTCAAGAGATTTAAAAGCTGCAGCACCTCGGTACTGATACAAACGACTCTGTATATCTTTCTGCTGCCACAACCACCAAAGTCGATCAAGCTGCGTGTGATGAAGAAAGAAAACAGGATCTGGTCAGAGGTGAGCAAGTGTATTGAATCAATAAAAGGGTCCAAAGCAAAAAGATCACTCACCATATGGAGCTGTAAACATGGAGAAGTCCCCTCGGATCATATGGGGAATTGAATTATGTGCAGTATTTTCAAGACCCAGGTTAAATTTCTCGTAATCATCTGTATCCATCAATTGATTCAGCACATAAGGCTTAATTTTCAACGATTCCGAGCTATCGGTTGTGTTGAAGGAGCGCGATAAGCAGTGCCGCGAGTGTTTAGAGCCGATGTATGGGACAGATAGTAGAGCAAAAGGACCGTCAACAACACACTGTCCAATCCCACGTGAGTCAATAACTTCTGAATTTGGATCTCCGTTACCGCCAAAGCCGAGTTCATTGTCCCATACAGGGGAGTTGGTTATATTTTCCCAATCAAGAGACCAATCCCAATAGCTACAGCACAAATAAATGTCAATGTTCTTTGCTTTTAAAGAGACTGGAATTGATGTTAGGACGCATACCTTAGGTATCCCGTGTAGTGGCAGTCTTCTCTCAGAGCTCTTTCATAGCTATGCAAAAAGTATCTATGCCATGCAACAAACGCAGCGGCGTTATGGGCTCCAGAAACCATCAGCGATTATGCTCTTGTTCCAACTGAAGCAAAATGCAATCAACACTTACAGTAGTTTCCAATATTGGTATGAACCCACGGAAAATCATCGTATAATGAATAATCTGAATGTAATCTCGACGGTGTCTCTCTCAGGCATTGGACAGCATCCAGATAACTTGCTTTCTCTGCCGCACTGAATGACCGCCACTCTCTGCGCGTCGAGGGATTGCTACAACGCTCTCTGTTCTGATAAGGGTCCGGAGCTTGGTATCGAAGGAAGTGATTCTCAAAAATGACACCACTGAAAAAAGCTATCCCCAAAACCAAAGCCCCAAGAACTACCGCGCAAAGTAGTCTTGGTGGTTGAAGTTGTCGATTTTGTAGAACTCTATCATTTTTCTCCTCCGACTCAATATCAGAGAGGACTGGCGAATATTGACGTTGTCGAAAGAGATTCAGCATATTTGGGTTCGGATGTCGAGATGTGGTAGTGCTTGAGTTAAGTTATGGGGCTGAATCGATAAACGATTTAGATACTGATACTCAATCTACCGCAAGGTCCTAAAGCTCTCGTGCTCACGAGAATATACTGAAATCTATGCTCCAGCTGAAAGTGCGGAAGGACTTGCCTGACATGATGTAGTTGATCGACTTTTCACGGGGATGGAGCAATGTGAAGTGGCACTGTGATAGAATGAAATTCAATAGTCGCTGCATAAAAAAAGCGCACGCATGTTGAAGTTTCAGCTTGCTGTTCATTTTCCTTACTTTTGGTAACTTTCAGAATTGTCGATCAAAATTCTCTACCTACCTTTTTTCGCCTACTTCGTTCTCGAGTCACACTTGACCAAGTCTTCGAGTGAGAGATCATCACACAAATTGCATCATAAACTGTAGTCCGTGTGTCTTAATTACCTTGCATGCATCATTGCTGCAACTAAAAGTATTCACAAATATGACACCATGTTGGTATGATCAACCGCAAACTTCCCCGCCGTTTTAAGATGTGAATAATTTCCCCATGATTATCTTCAATCAAAATCTGAAAAAGTGGGTCCCGTAGCCCCCATCTTCTGCAGAAGATCTCAAGAAATGCATTTTGAGTCCACATGTTGAATCTTGGCAATCTTCCTGGGAAGTAGGGACTAGAGATTAGAGCATGCATGAGTTTGGGGTTCTGGGGAAAACGAAACATTATGATAAGCGCTCTGTGGGTGACCGCGTCTCCTTACGATCCCGGATCGGGATCGGGATCTGGGAAAATGATTGTTTCTCTCTAGCGAAAAACGTTAGACTCCCGTATCTGTTAAAAAGAAACGATGCACATCAAGGCTTTGCTGGAATTTCTGGCAGAAGAGAGCGATCACGGTCTCAGTATCGTAAGACATGAGCATCAAGTCATTGACTGTCGTTTTACATGTGTTCCAATACGTAAGTCCTCGCAGTATGCATAAATTTGAGTATCCAAGTTTTCCCACAATGACATTTGTTGTGTGATGAACAGTAAAACATGCTGGCTGGCAGCATGCTGTCTTGCAAAGACGCGATACGAAAAGACTTCTTCCAACTGATCGACAATTCTACACCGCCCAATCTATCATATATAGAGCTTTTCGAACTGCAATTGAGATAATATCACTCTTCATTCAAGAAAAATTCATTGATTCAACTGACCAACGGCACAACTTCTAAAGTTTACTTTATTCCACTTGAACACTTCAATCGGATTCCAAAACCATTTTTCCACTTCTAACATCTCCCTAACCAAGTCGACTACTACTCACTATGCATTACTCAAAGCTCATGATCATTGCCTTCGTTGGCTATGCCTCAGGACGTGCGATTTGTAAGTATTCATAAACCACTCTTGAAATTTGAATGTACTCTGAGACACAGAACAGTACTCGAGAATCCTTCTTCCTCCTCTAAGAGAGGCGGTGATATTGCAAACTCCAAGAGAGACGAGAATGCCCTAGGATTATTGAAAGAAGACACGCTCCCAGACTTCAAGAGGGGTGTTAATATCGTACATACCAAGAGAGATGATGAGGCCCTGGAATCCAAGAGAGGCTATGATATCGTATACGCGAAGAGAGACGATGATATCCTAGTCGTCAAAAGGGGTGTTAATATAGTAGATACCAAGAGATATGATGGAGACTCTAAGCGGGGCGAAGATATTACCAAGCGGGATGAAGATATTACAGAAGCAAAGAGACAAGTAGACTACAAACGAAATGACAACGGAGACTACAAACGAAACGACAACGGAGACTACAAACGAAATGACAACGGAGACTACAAACGAAATGATAGCGGAGACTACAAACGAAATGACAACGGAGACTACAAACGAAACGACAACGGAGACTACAAACGAAATGACAACGGAGACTACAAACGAAATGATAGCGGAGACTACAAACGGGACGAAATTATCACAGTATAAAAGAGAAACAATGGAGACTATGAGCTGGCTGACGATGTTTCGGATGACAACTGAAGGAATAAAATTGATCGGGCTGAGCAAAGTAGAAGTGAGAAGAAAACTGAAAGTGTCCGATGTTAAATATAGCACTGAATGTTTCGGTCTAGAGAATTATTTCTCGAGCTCTTGGCTTCTCGAGCAATGTATTCATACTCTTATAAACTCTTCCGCGGTTTCATTTTATCTCACTTGTATTTGAATTTGAAATGTTTTTTTTGTTTGTGTCATCATCCTGGTTCCATGTGCACTAGCCCATTCTCAGAACGAAGGCACTCTATTAGATCTCACTCCAGCGTCGTTGTATCAGATTTTCGGATGATTCTCGAGATCCTCTACGTTTTCTTGCCGCAATAGACTTGGTATGAGTTTCAAAAATTCCTTATACGCGAACGTGGCATCGACGGAGGTAGATGTTAGCACACCGCCTTTGATCTACCACTGAGCAGATCATTGTGCGCACACAGATCAATCCTTGACATCTGCGTGTGTTATTTATAGGCAGCTTCCCCATCTTATGGTTCGAAGATTACGCATTTGATCGTGAAGTCTTAGTTGAATGCATGTAATTGACATCAAAAATGACAAGTGAAGCGACAAGTGTTAGTTCAGCTGAAGCTCTCGAAATGACGCAGTGCGCAACATGTTATGGGGTATGCCAAAAGCCAAACAATGTTGCTTACATAAACTAGTTGGAAATTTGTATGACCTTTATTTCAAGGTTGGGATATTCCATAGATATATACTATACATGCCTATGCAGCAACCAATTGAAGATGCTTCCAAGGTACTTAGGTATTGAGAGCTTGTTTCGGTCTCATATAATGCTGTAACTTTACATGCCAAGTACTGTAGCATCTGTTTCTAGCCTTCTAATTTCGGAAAACCATTACGATCTATCGCCTGCTAGCTGAACACTCTACTCTGTGCCTCGGAAGAGACATTTGCGCCAGAAAGTTGTCCTAGACTGAGATTACCATCGATGTTACTGGAGACAAAGTTGCCTGAAGACTTCACGAGTTCATTCTTGGGAACAGCATGGTAAGAGTGTCTCGGGTGATGCTGGCTGCAAAGTTTAAGCTTAATGGGTATCTTTTTGATGACTGTCTTCATCAATCGTGTGTGGTTTGCAAGCCGCAGACAAAAAGGGGTACCAAGATTTGTTAGGCTCAAGGAAGCTATGGGATTGCTCCCATACTCATATTTGGTACTTACATATCAATTTATCAATTCTTTAGACGGCGAACGATCAATTGTTGGGAATTTTCAAGCATATGAGATAATAGTGATGATAATTCAATTTATTTTCAAGAATCTGTTCTCACTTTTTACCCCATGCTTAGACATCGGTCACTCATCGTCTCAAGAGCTTTTTGTGATTAGTATCGTCAACCTCATTGCAAACATGAATATTTCTAAAAAATTCCGAGTTGAAAGATTAGGCTACAATACCTATTAACAACTGTATATCACTTCATGAAAATAAGACCGTCGTTTGTATTCGATAAAGTCTCTTTTTTTTTGCTGACAACCATCTAACTTGCGTTAATGAAACTGTTACGTCGAAGTTTTCTTTGCAACCTGAAGTTTTTTTTTTGAACGGTTTGAATCATTGAATGGACTCTCCCACGTATGCATACAGATGTTCCGTCAATCACAGATCTCCTTGAACAGGTGTCCCGACTTTTATATTCACTCCCTTTTGCAAGTCTTGCCTTTTTGGTCATTCAATACATTCTTCTTATCTTAACTAGTCTCGAGGACAGGTGATCAGAAGTTCCGTTCGACAGTCCTTGGCTCAACCCCGAAGCCTTTGGTCACCATGTGATCTCCAAGTGGATTCTCCAATCCTCTTCTTTGACTTTCAATGGATAGCCATATTATCAGTACCTAGGTAGGTAGACAACGGTATCATTTATTCAATTTTCACAATAAATTGTATCACATATAGGGCCTCTCGGATATTACCTAGGTACCCAGAGAAATGATTTTCCATTGACTTTAAACCACTTAACTTGAGCCTAGGTTTGATGAAACCAAATAGAAGAGAATATTAGTTCCCCTCAATTGAATGAATATCAGGACCCCCTTATTCAATTCAGATATTGCTATATACTTTTGTCTAACATATTCTCGCCATGTGGGAGGGAGAAGAAATTTGAGATGTTTGAAGTTCCAACAGATGAGATTAGAAATCTGGGCATCATACTTCGCTTATAATCTTAAGATTGCACAGTATTGCTTCAATTGTGTAGTACTGCCTCGCTTATTGATTAAAGCTAGCCTACAGTGGATGTGCTATCATCCCTAGGCCATTGGGCTTCTGCAAAAGGAGCTCCGAAGTTCTCTATTCAGAGTACAGAGATAGTCTCCGGGCTAGATATGATCCTTTGAAAGAATGCCTGTGTTTTAAAGAGGTAGGCTCCTGTGAGAATTGGTACTAGCGCCATCCATTCGCTCTTAGCGTGAAATTTTTTGATATATTCACTGAAGCCATACAAGCTAGCTCATTTAAAATTGCGGGCAGTAATCTTATAATGGAACTCAGTTCATGATACGGAACCTCCAGCCAGCTACATTACCACCTAGATACGTTCTATAGGTTTCCAAGAATTCCTTACTTAGCGCCAACTGACTGCCGTATTCTCGAGTCTTTCCTGTCTCTACTTTTTATTTACTTTCAGATTACCTCACACTCTTTTAGTTTGCAGAAAATCCTTACAATTTCTTACTTCTTTGCACTTCGTTTGATACTTTACAAATCTTCTTACCTGGCCTCGTGGAGAGATGTCTTTTCTCAATAAGTACTTCGTTATGGGTCTTCCGGGCTGGCGTCTTCTTATTCTTGCTTGCTTTATGGTAATTGGTATTAAAATTACTAAATTCTTTATTGACCTATTCCACGTTCGTCGCAAATTTCAGCGTATGCAGAGGGATGGCTTGGTAAGTTATGGCTAATATCCATCCCAGTTTTCATGATCTTATAGCTTATCAAGTCTCGAAGCCGATGCCTCCTCATCATCCTGTGTTTGGTCACTTGAAGTTGATTGGCGAAATTGTATCTCGATTGCCCAGCGATGTTCATCGTCACGTTCTCCCACACCAGATCAAACTCCTCTATCCCAACCTTGGCCCGTTATTCTACCTCGATACATGGCCCTTTGGCGGTGAGATCTTGGTTGCTGTAGGCCCTGATGCAGCTTACCAGATGACTCAATCACACCCGCTACCTAAGTTTCATGCCATGCGTGAATATCTGAAGCCTATGACAGGAGGAAATGACTTGGTTTCTATGGAAGGCAAAGAGTGGAGAAAATGGAGAGCTATCTTCAATCCGGGCTTCAGCGCTGGCCATCTTATGACTCTGGTTCCTGATTTGATGAAAGACATGTCAGTATTTTGCGATGTTCTGAGAAAAGCGGCCACGAACTCGGAAATTGTCATCATGGATCATTTAACAACTAGATTGAATCTGGATATCATCAGTCGGATGGCTCTGTAAGTAGACCCCTTGAATTCGATTTCGTCAGACTAGTTTCTGACAACGCTTAGGGATACACACTTGAATTCACAGCTTGAGACAAATGATTTCGTTTCTGCATTGCTCAGTCAACTCGATTGGTTATCATTTGGTCACGAAGTCAACCCATTCCAACGATATAATCCTATTCGCCCTCTTGTCAACTGGTGGAACGGTCGCCGAATGGTAAAATATATTTGGAGAGAGTTGGATATGCGCTTGAAACGTCGCAACATTGTCAATAAAGGCACCCAGTTTTCTCGCAGCAAATCAATCATCGACCTCGCTCTAGATAATTATCTTGCTAGCAAGCCTGGAGACAGCACTATTAACGCCATGGATACCGCTTTCAGAGACATCGCTACATCTCAACTAAGAGTTTTTATCTTTGCCGGTCATGATACAACAAGCAGTACCATGTGCTATGCTCTTCATTTGCTCTGGACCAATCCCAAGACCCGTCAGCTGTTAATTGCTGAGCATGATATGATTCTAGGCCCAGACCACAAAGAAGCAGCAAGAAAAATCGCAGAAGATCCTTACATTTTGAACCGACTTCCTTATACTATGGCTGTCACAAAAGAAACCCTTAGATTGTACCCCTCTGCTTCAACCGCTCGCAGCGGTGAGTCCGGCTACTTCATGTTGGGATCCGATGGACTTCAATACCCCACCGAAGGATTCATGGTATGGTCAAACTCGCACGCCATTCAACGTGATCCTCTTTACTGGCCTGAACCAAGCAAATTTCTTCCAGAGCGTTGGCTCGTTGAAGAAGGTCATCATCTATACCCCAAGAAAGGCACTTTTCGACCATTTGAATTTGGACCTCGTAAGTGTATTGGACAGGAACTTGCGATGCTGGAGATGAAGATTTTTCTTGTATTGACTGCAAGAGAGTTTGAAATTAGGAGTGTGTATGAGGAGTGGGACAGTCTGCATCCGAAGACTGGTCCCAGAACACTTGAGGGAGATAGGGCTTATCAGATTTTGTCTGGTGCTGCTCATCCAAGTGAGGGACTTCCATGCAGAGTTAGGTTGGTTAGAAACTGAAAGTCTGATGAATGAGATCATGAGGCATCAATACATGGGATGATGGGAATGATTGTGGGTCGGACAGAGACTTTTGTGTCTGGAACTTATGCAGCTTTGGCAGGGACTGTTACTCTACTGAGAACCATCAGAAACAAACAGCGACTTACGAAGCTGCATTTTCACCGTGATAGAACTTAGGATAGAACTTAGGATTCAGAACTTATACTTCGAGTATAACTAAAAATGATACTATTTGTATTCAACTATTTTGACGATACACGTACATGTGCCTTACCCTTCTTACCCTTCGAACAGTGACAATACAAACTATGCCACTTATCATCATCTTTCTTTCTCCATTAATATTGGCGTGAAGTTTAATTTACTATTCTTATATGACTGAGATCTTGATTCCTCTACTTGTAAACGAATCTTTTTACTCTAGCCACCCACTCACCTGTGCACTCATCATTCGAGGACTAAACGATCTACAACCTTAAGTCGCATTTACAGTGAACAGAACTCGGAAAACCATAGAGTATATGGTAGAATCTGTCTGTATATCAACTTTTATTTATTTATTCGAGGTACCTAAATTAATCTATGAACTGATTGTTAATGCATGATGATGCTTCTGATCTCTATATCATGTTGTATATTCAATAATTTGTGAGAAGGGTTGGTAACAATTAAAGTATATCCCAAAACAGTGTAACCCCCATTACTGACATCATTGATCTATAATATGATCGATACTTATGAAACAACGTTTGGCAAGTTCATCAATATCATCTTGGTACATTTTGTTTGAGGAAGGGTCTTGAATACTTCGAACATAACTAATATGACTAGAAGTATAAGGTTCAGGCTTGAGAGAGACCTCAATTCTTCACAAGCTTCCCATCCCGAGCACAGCACATCATCAACCCATCAGCGGCCCCCTATTTTCCCACCCCCTCAACCCTTACAGACTTCCCATTCTTCAAATTCCACACAACAATTGAATCATCATCCTCAGACTGACCTACTTCATTTCCTTGCAGAAAGCCCCAGCGTTGTCTATCAACCTGCGCATCACCATACGACTCAGAAGCTAATCCAAGAAACTCTCCTTCTATCATGAATCCTCTTTCTTCCAGAAATTTCCGCGCAGCATCAGTTTCCTCCTTGATATTAAAAACATTCCGTCTTACAATCTCCACGCATTCCGGACCATCTTTCAACACACTCACAATACTCATTTGTCCTCCAAGAAGATATTTCGGCTTCACAATCTCATCCGAAAGACTATCCAGTGATGCGCGCCAGGGGAAATAATCCTCCACACCCGGTATTTCATCCGCCAGCCTCTTGATCCACACAATTGTTCCTTTCACTCTAATATCTTTATGCTGTCCTCCTTTGAGCCTGAAACTCAAGCGTCCCAGATTCTCAAACGTTTCCAGAAACGCATTGCTGATTTTTTGTCCTTCGTGGTACAGAGCCTTCCAGATGGGAACTCTCAAGCCATCTACTAGTCCCCAACAGTCTTTACACATGCTGGCTTGGCTTGCTACTTTGATAGTGATGGCGTGCTCGCAGAAATGATACCATTTGTTGGATTGTATTGCTTTGTCGCATCGTTTGGTTTCGAAGAGATCGGTGTCGGTGCAACTCTGGCATTTGAAGGCTACTCTGATGCAGTAATCTGATAGAGTTGAGATGGGGATGGGTGACTGGTGACTAGGGGTAACAGCGCTCATTGTTGAAAGAGGTAGGTATTATGGTTGATTTCGGAATGTGTGTTGAGGTTCTTGAGATTCGTACAAGAGAGTGTGTATATATACGACTGAGCTAGACTGACAGTCTATATAAAGAATTCTCTGAGAACCTCCCTCATATGCCACTTTGAATGAGCTGTATTTAAATTTTTGTATTTTCTCAGCGATGTACAACATTCATTTTGAATGCTGTAGAGTGACTGAGTGTGAATGAATAGAGGCATCTAGCCAGTCACATGCTGCCGAAGATGGGATTGCCATTAATAGTGATTCAATGTAATGAAGTTGTTCTTTCAAATGTGCATTGAAAACCTTGTAGATACTGAAGATTAAAGGGGAAAAGTGAAACTTGAAGCTTGTTTTTTGTTTTCAAGGGGAAATGACTCTACGTGAATGGCTACAATGGTGGATTCACTATGAAAAATATTCATTGTGAGCCAACGATTCTTGAGTCAAAGATCTCGACCAAGTGTCACAAGGTGCATAGACTATGAGAAGAAAAAGCGATCTCTACTCACAACTTCGTGGATGTTCTGAGACTCTATTAGTTCTAAATATTCTAGGATGTAAATATCACATAAGTCGAGGACACCTGCACCATTTCGAATGAACAATGAAGGTCTACTATCCATACGATCTGTAGCCAGCTCTTAGTCGTTCTTTCTCCTTCCTCAAATATAATCATTGTACTCCCTGATTTCTGTTATATCCTAACTCTAACACGCAGACCACCCGGATCTTGTTGCCGGTAAGAATTAACTAGAGCCCCATAGGTAGATGGTTTAATCAAGGGACGGTAGTATTACTTGAAATACCTTCCTAACCACTCTCGGGCAGGAATCTATTAGAGGAATAGAGTCTCCAAAAAGCTATGATCCGAAATATCTGATGTGATGGAAAGGCGCTACATGAAAAGAAAGAATAGAGTGTAGATGGAAGGATAGCCTTTTGTTAATATTTATATTGGAATTTAAATTAGGACACCATAAGTATTATAAACAGGTTGTGAACCAAGTATATAGGAGAAGAATGTCGATAGCTTTAAACCTATAAACGGAAATCAAACAACGAGCTGTGACTTCAAGTCAAACAACTTTGTCGGCAACAAATCCCTCGTTTACGCTAGTTTGTGCACCACTTCCATAACCTCAATACCGTTATCTGGGCCAGAGCTCGATTTTTGAAATTCTTTTTCTTCTGCAACTCTCCCAAGCCTCAAATCTTCCTCTTCATAGATTTGTGGTCTCTGTAGCTGAGTAGCTATCTTATTTCGGTGAATAAAGAGTCCAGGCTTACTCTCAAAGAAGCGATCGATATCCTCTAAGCTTCTATTCGCGGTCTCTGGATAGAAGAAATACGTAATTGGGACGAAACTCGCGCAGATGACTGCCCAAATAATCCAGAATCTCCATCCAAGATTCGCAATTCCTGATGGAGTCACTTCGGCAACCATATAATTCATAATCCAATTGGTAGCCATAGCTAGGGATGCACCCTTGGTACGCATTTCAAGGGCATTGATTTCAGTGGGATAGAGCCATGGAACTCCTAAAACACCCATACCAAAAGATGCAAAGAATGCAAAGAAGAATGAGACTGCCACAGCTCCGTATTGATAGCTATGTGCTGGGTCAGAGATAGTCAAGGCAAGTACGATGGTGATGACAATCCAGCAAGTAGAACATGCGAATGCAGAAACCATCATCACGCGTCGACGACCATATCGCTCAATCACAAAGTAGGCTAAACAGGCGAAAAGAAGATAGTCGACAGATCCTGCGGCTGCAAGAATGCGTGCTCTAATTACGTGTTAGCTGCGAGTGACCTGAAGGCTAAAAGACTTTTACCTCAATTCGGATATTCCTAGTGCATGAATGAAAACGTATGTCATGTAATAACTAGTGACATTGATACCACTGATTTGATTCATCGCTTGCATCCAAGCTCCTAGAATCATACGTCTTAAAACTCCAGATGGACCTTTACCTGACAGCAATTGGAACCAAGTATATGTATTCATATGTTCTCGATCCAAGACGTCTTTAATAATATTGAATTGTTGTTTCACAGATGGAGAGTCGATAGTTGCGCCATGACCTTCAAGTGCTGCGAGAACTTCGTATGCCTCTTGGTGTCGCCCTTTTCTAATGAGCAGACGTGGCGAATCTGGTAAGAATGGACACAAAGCCCAGATTACAGCAGTGAAGACTACCTTATTGTTAGTATACCAGCATGTTCAAGTGTTAAAAACACTCACATATTTGGAAAGCTAAAGGAAATCTCCATGCCACACTACCCTTGGTGAATGAAAATCCAAGTGTAAGCCAATTAGAGATCGAGAATCCGGTAATGCAGTTGGCCATCTGAATAATGACAAGTTTCCCACGACTTCTCATCTTGCTTGTCTCAGCCTGCCAAACACCTGCAGTTGCAGTATTCATACCCGTTCCCAATCCCGCAACTATTCTTCCCACCATCATTTGCGCAACACCGTAGCTAGCAGTCTGGATAAGTGCACCTAAGGCAATGATGGTGCTTCCTAGGAGTATCACTTTAGGCCGGCCAAGAAGATCCCCAGTCCAGATAGTAGAGAGAGCTCCAAAGAAACATCCCAGATTATAGACAGAAGTTAAAGTCCCTTGAACACTCGTTGTTGGATATCCCATGGTTCGAAGAAAGTCATCACCAACTAATACATTTCCAAAGACACCCTGACACAGTCAGTACTTTGATTTATTCCTCAGAATCCTGGCAAGACACTTACTTGGTCGTAGCCATAGAAAACCAAAACTGTTGAAGCAGCAATGGATATCCATACTGTCAATGCTTCACCAGAACCTCCAAGGTACTTTCGAGCCATTGTACGAAATTGATTCAAATATAACAACTAGCTGCAGAGCTTGCAATCTTGCATATCGCAGCTTCACAAAGACTGAAGGACTTCTGATGGCTTTATACCTGACAATCACCAGGATGTACTCTCGTATCATTCCTTGTGCAGTCGTGCTCCCACACAAGATGCACGGTGTTGATCATTACCAGATTTGGACTTTTGACGATAGAAGAGATAGATGGCTTCATTCGAATACAGTTTGACAACCATGGCTGGGGCTAAGACAGCGGGACGAGTCATTGTTTTCTATTTGGTATCAGCAAAATCGTGGGGACCCCAGATTTCAGTGGATTCGCGGGAAACAAGCGGGGTAGGGTTATTTTGGAGTTTCAAGATTCACGTCCATTAGTGGGTGTGTGGACTGATGGAACACTTCTCAACTTTCAAAAATTATAACAAATTCATCCTTCAATTGTTTGATTCCAGAATCCATATTCGCATTTCTTGATGTGTAATAAATCATTGTATTGAACCTCGAAGTATCTGAAGCGATATTTCAAGAGATATCGCCAAGTCAATTTTCGAAATGTTCCGACAGTCCGTGCACCCGCTGATGAGCCAAGCATGTGAGCTAGAAGCTAATCCGGATAACCTTCCCTCTCTAGCAAAGTCATATGCTTTTTTTGCTTTTTGAGCTCGCTCAACCTTCCTTTCCTACCTGGTGTTCTCGCCAAGTGACCGGGATACACATGGGGGTGAAAATGGCGGGGTGAGATCAATGTGTCAATCGTCTGAAGGAATGTTTCGGGACGAGTTAAACAACAGCTTCTCTTTTGCATTATTGAACCAGATATTCATCATTAACTCATCAAGCCATCCCTTCTACCCGACTTCGATCATCGCACATACCTTGCTTCGACACGTCGTTAGTTTGCCCACATAGAACAGTCCACGTATTCCGAGCCCTATTCTTGATATAAATACATTCACGTCAACTGGAATACACTGCCCATTCGAAATCATAAAGAACACCCGGAATTACACAAACATGGCTATGAACGTTCAATCCAAGACTGCTATTGTCACTGGAGCTGGCTCTGGTATCAATTTCTGTTTTGCAAAATTGCTACTCAGCAAAGGTTGCAATGTTGTCATTGCAGATCTCGCTCTGCGTCCAGAAGCTGAGGAATTGATATCGAAATATTCCGACTCTTCAAATGGTCCGAAAGCCGTGTTTCTGAAAACGGACGTAACGGAATGGGCCCAATTGGAGAAGATGTTCGAAGTAGCAACGGAGCAATTTGGTGGTGCTGATATTGTGTGCCCAGGAGCTGGCGTGTATGAACCAGTCAGTTTCTACAAACCAGCATTATGAATAGTAGCTAATTGATAACCAAGCCATTTTCGAATTTCTGGAACCCTCCTGGTACCCCCCCTTCCGTCGACAAAACCACTGAATCACGATACAAACTGCTTGATATCAACATCACTCATCCGATACGCGCAACTCAAATGGCTATTGAGCATTTCATGAAGCGGAAGAAGCCTGGCACTGTTATTCATATATCCAGTATTGGTGGCCAAATTCCATTCTTTCCAACGCCAATGTATGTAGCGTCGAAACATGCTATATCAGGTTTTGTTCGTTCATTGGCACAGTTGGAATTCCCTTCTCCCGATATTCCCAAAGTACGCATAAGTGCAGTAGCACCTGGTCTGATAAAAACTCCATTATGGACAGAAAGTCCCGAAAAGATGGCATTTATTCCCAAAGATAACCCGGATTGGGTAACGCCAGAATTTGTTGCCGAAGCGATGTTAGAGCTTATCGAGAGTGAAGAATATTCTGGGGGTACAATTCTAGAAGTTGGCAAAATCACGAGAAAAGTGGAAGTCTTCAACGATCCTGGACCTCCACAAAAATCAACGGCAGTCAAACATGTACCTCGTGAGAATCTGGAAGCTGATATATGGGCATCTATGGAGAGGCAATACCGATCTTAGACTAAATCGACATAATGAACGTAGGAAACATTCAAGAAGAGAGGCGTGGGCATTCACTCAAAGCATGAAAGTTGTATGCTATTATCTTGGCATTTGCCACGAAATTCTTCATTGGGGAATACTCCAATTAATGAAAGGGTTCTTTCATGTGATCATTATATCACAGTGTTTCCATATTGATCCTTCAGCGTGAGCTGACTCTCCGATTCATGCGGATAAGCCAGAAAATAATCATGGACAACCCTGAAATCTCTGAATGTAATGTCAATGCTCCTCTGGAAAACAACACCAGACCCAACGGTAAGAGACACTCCCCCTATCTTCAACGTTCTACTCTGAGGAGCAGACTGTCCCTCCATAGCAACAACAATGAGAGGTCCTTTCCAAGCATGCTCCATCTTGCCAGCCGTGTTTGAGCTTGCAGACTGCGTCATCTTTGATCCATCAGATCCAAAATTATCCCGCATGTAAACAGCAAGAGTATGCTTGATGTTTCGAGCTCGCATGATCCACTGAGGCTTAATAAGCAGTTGTTCGGAATCAAAAAAATCGCCTGAGCCGTAAGTGAGGAACCTATCGACATCCGGCAGGACAAACTGTCCATCGACACCAGGGATTTCGATCTTCCTGAAGTTTACCCATACTAATTCTGGACTTTTACTGTTGGGTGAAAACGAAATGCCAAGCTTGTGGGTGGGACTGGGACGGGGAGGCATTTACCTTATTTATCACTTTCAAACTTGATTCAAAGTTGAAGGGAAGGACCTACTAACAGAATATGTGCGCATCATCCGCAGAACACATATTCCAAAGCAATTGCAGAGTTGAACATAATCAGTTGGTTGAACTGAACAATTGTTGGGCGACACAACGGTTACTAGGTAGGCAGGTATTGATGTCTAATGCGGGGCAAGTCACATGTTATCGCGCCCATCACCTCTTACCGCGTTTGTGTTCTAGAACAAAACTACCAGATGATTGCCCTGACAGAAAGCATCGTCGAGATTCTGCGAACCCTTTCTTTCAACTACCTAGGTTCCTAGAATATTCTTGGATTAACTAGGTACTAATAAGTGTTTCATGATCGAAGTACTAGAATTTCACTGGAACTTAAGAAGTCAGGCTATCGATTCGATTGCACAAGGCAGCTTTGGATCAACACTCGGCATCACAAGTTGATCAGTATGTATCGCAATTACCCACAATATTCTTTCAATACCCTAGCTGGCTATTTTCTTCGGAAATCCAACTGACTTCTTCACTTGTTCGTAGTACATAGATTTCTACCCAACTGCAAATCTCGATTTCGACAAAGACACAATTCTCAAGATGGTTGTTCTCGACAAACTTCCAGGCTTAGAAGTCAATATTCAAGTGAATGGAGCCAAAGTTCAGGAATATGATGACAATGAGGATGCAGAGATTGGACCGGGACTGAGCGGCGAACATCAAGCTTCGAGAACAGTATCTAAGTATATTGAAGCCATCGATGGGGCCGAGTTCAGAATTATTTGCACTTTGCTACCCAAACTCGAGTTCAACGCGCCAAACCTCCGAGCAGATGTATCCGTAGATGGCAATTATGCTCAAGGGAAAATTCTCACATCCGAATATATAGGAAGATCCCCAGTACGATTTGAAGGCCCAATCATTTTCCATCCTGCCGGACACCGGTATACGTTACAAAGATATAGGTTCTCTGAGCTCTGCATATGTTTGTTTTCATAATCTCGCAATTGTCAATCTGTCGATACTGTGCTAATATTGCGAAGCAAGCGAAGAGGGACGACTCTCGAACCTAAAAAAAGATAAGGCCGAAGCCGAGAAGGTTGGTACAATTGAGATCAGAATTTGGCGCTCCTCCAAATCAGTACCAGCGGGGCCTCAAAATCTCCAGACCATTAAGTCGACCTCCAATACGTTTCATGAGAAGGTGCTCAAGGGTCAAGCAAAATCACACAATGTTTCGTATGTTAGGCCATGATCACGCACTCGCCAGTCAACTTACGATCTTAGGTATTCCCCGGAGACTGCTACTTCTGCACCTATATATGTAAATACCACACGAATAGACGGTGAAGACTACCCCATAGCCATTTACAAGTTTAAATATCGTTCTAAAGGTATAGTGAACTGCTGAAGAACTGAAAGGCACCGCTAATACCGATATAGAATCTCTGAAGCAATTGATGATCATTGAGCGGACCCCCGAACCAGAAGATAGCCCAACACCAGGTTCTGCGCCTGATATTGATCTCGATAATTTGACCGCTGCTCAAAAGAAGCGCCTGAAGGCATTTCTACGTAACGAAGGTATTGCTGTAAGTAGTATAGTGATTTTAACGATATACACAAGCTAATTTCATTTTGTAGGCCGGTCGCGCGTCTAATACCCCCGACAGAAAAATTAAGCGTGAGCGAGAGAATGGTGAAGGCAGCTCAAACCAGACACGACGAAAGAAATCCAGAATTACAGAGGTCGTTGATCTTACTGCAGATTCTGACGAAGATGCGTGATATGGGACCCACGTCTTCAAATCTGAAACGGCTGGGATATCATTTTCATTTTGATCTGTGGCGTTATCTGTTTGCTAGTCGATCTTTTATTGGTCAAATATACCCTGGTCAGTTATTTGGTGTGGGAAGACATTCAGAGAGTTCTAAAGGCGTAACCAAGGGGATGGAAAAGTATTTCAATGGCGCAATGGCTCAATGGCGTCACGACAACTCAAGTCTAAATTTGTTTCTCCATTTGGTCTTGCAAGCTCTCGATAACGAACTCACTTAGCCATGTCAAAAAATAAAGAAAGGGTGAATACGTCTGCCTGTAGCTCTCAGGATTTGTAAAATAACAGCATTAGTATCATACGCTCATCCTAAATCTTCCCAACGGAACACTAGCACATAGCAGATTTAAGCATGCCGTTGCCTTTACTACAAGTCTGTCTTCTGAAGGTTTAACCCACATTGGTGGAAACTGAATACTTGAATAGCATTAAAACCTCATGCACTAATATTCGCCCTCAACGACTTACTATTAGATCTCAATCCAGTTTACATCCACCTCCAAATGATCGCTGGATGAGAATCTGGTAGGCAAAAGTACCTGTGAAAACTGGGAGAAGTACTAGGTACTTCTATATCACGGGCATGCTGCTATTCCAGCGATTTCTCAGATAAACGGCTGGAGATATTATTTAAGATTGCTAAATATACAGTGAAGCAGATGATTATTGAGGTTATATTGCTTTGCTGTACTTATTGTCGTTTCTCATATCGGGGAGAGAACTTCTAGTGGAAGTATTTAGTGTCTTGGAGACAGCGGGAGTTCTCATTCGAATATGGTACTCGACGGGACATCTCAACGGTTTGCACTAGATGCTTAAGTTATCATGTATACAATTGCTGTTGATGTCGCAATAGATATCACTCTTCGTCTGATCATCGCAAATTCGATAAAACGATGTGACTGTTACATCAGATTACTACGAAGGACCATATATCAACGCAATAAATAATCTATCATTATAAAACTCAAAGTCTGGAAGTTCTAATAAGCCACTTTCAAGTTGTTTTTAATCATAAAAGTCATTTCCAAAACGGATCTTTAAGCTTTCGAAATGATTAATCCGCCCCGAAAAGTTCATTAAAAGTTTAGCTCGACGCCTGCACAGATGCTCATAGAGATCTCTTTCATAGACGAGGAAACCTCAGAGTGAGCAAATGTGCATTTGCTGAATGGTTGTGTGGAAGCACCAAAGGAACAAATTTTTGGTTGTGCCTTAGATAGCTAGTATGTCCGAGTCGATAAATCTTAGCTATTTGACCCATTCTTGATGTAAAAGCAGAATTATTATCGTTGCCGTTGAAATGACCCCGTAGTATGCCCAATTGAAAGTTGCACCCTGAAAACCGTCATAAAACACAGCAGCTAACCCATAAAAGCCCGAAAATAATCGTTGAACACGCCCCCATTCATTTTTTGAACCTCCGAAATACCCTGTGGATATTCGCTCAGAACTCAATCCGAATCATCTCCTATCAAATCAACTTCAACACGTTCGCCTCTCTTTGGTCGCTTGTTGGTCTTGGAATCAGTTTCCTCTCTTTCCCGCTTAATTTTCTTCTCTCCGTTGGGTTGACCTCCATTGCCCTGATAAAGATATAGTTAGCGGTGGTGCGGGAGATAATTAGATTGAACATACCAGTAAGTTTCCCAAAAACTCCTGAAGCTTTGTCTTCTGGGTTGCATCGAGGCTTTCAAGATCAAAAGGTCCTGAAGCACCATTCGAAATTGGAGCTGGAGAAGGAGAAGGAGATGGCTCTGGGGTTCTTTCGAGTATCAAGAGAGACTCGAGTGATTCTGCAACTGTTAGAAACTTCTATGGACTTGCTACAGGGTGGTTCTGACCTTTAGATCTGTATTTGAATCGATAGATAGCGATTGGGTAGTCTGCTCCGTCTATGTAACTCGACAGGAAGCGAAGACTTGCTCCAGTAGGCTGAGCAGCTCCTAGTCTAAGATAAATTTACTCGTTAGAATATATTGATCGTCTATCAGAATCTTGATATGAAGATGATGCTTACACAGTACCATGCGACATAGCTCGGCCCTTGAGCGCTTTCTCGTGAACCGGTATTGATGTATCGACTGCGAGTTTTACCCTAGAGCGTTGCCCTGCGGACGATAGACGCGGTTCACTTTTACGATAAACTTTGACCATGATCTCACCAACAACACTCAGTCGGGTTGCATCCTCTTTTATTGTCGCTAATTTGGAATCGTCCATGCCTTCGGAAGAGTTAGTAACGAGGGCGCTGAGGTTCTTCTAGCAACACCACTTAATTACTCGTGATGATGTCACTGAACTTGAATGGCATCATGAAGGTTTGCCCATTATCCAGCTCATTTTTGACACCTTTTACATTCATAGCCCTAAATAGAAGGATAGTTTGTAGGCAAAGGGAAGAGAGAAACTCGTAACCATTTAACCATAAGAAAGTCCAGTTAAAACTTGCTCCTCGAGGTCGGGATACTCACAGAGGAACGTGTTTCTTGCCGCAGTGTTTCGAACGAACCTTCATCCCATCAACAAAAACATGGAAAGAAATAATCGGAGAGTCAAATTTGAATGCTTTGCTTATCTCAAGTTTGATGTAGAACACTTTGCCGGTGATTGATTCAATATATTTGGAAGCCGTTTTAGTAGCTTTATCATATCCTTCAACCTCAGCAGAAACACCCTCAGGCTCATCGTCGTCGTACTCTTGGAGAGCTTGCCTATCGGCGCATACTGTAACTTCGATCCCACGAACGCCCTCTAGGACTGCCATGATTAAGAACAATAAATTCCAAGAGGTTGCAAGTTACCATAAATCGTATCGAGACTTATTCAATGACATCGATAGGTCGAAGTATTATGATGCGTCGTTTGATTGAAGAGTAAGATTGAGGATAAGGTTAACTAAAACATAGAATATGGGACACACACGTGTGGTTTTAGTACCCAGCGCATGTCTGAATTGTGAGAAAGGAAACGGAAAGGTAAACGTTTTCTGTAGAAATTTCTCGGCGACCCAAGGTGAAGGGTGACAGTGGACAAGAAGCAAGTCGCGCTGTCACATGTTGGTACCGAAAGACATTTGCAAACGAAAGTGCAAACGAAAGTGCAATTTCTGTCTTCCTTCTTTTACACTACATCAATCATATTATCTTCTCTGCTCATTATGGATACTGAAATTTACATTCTTTTTATGTTCTCCTTGGACCACAAGAGCATTCCAGAGAGCTCCAGAAACGCGTGGGATATTGGAACATTCTGACTTGAGAACGAGTCTAGTGCCAAAACGGTTGTTGGAGATGTACCAAAGAAAGATAATTGTTAATATAATGTGTGTTATAAATAAGCTGGCTATGTTCGTATAAGCATTTGACTGACCGTTTCCACAGGCTGTTTTTTACGTCTCATGAATTGGTGGTGGTGAGCTTAAGCTCTCCAAATGTGATTCTTGATTCTCGAACCTCAACTCTTCCTTATGGATACCGACGTATTTTGTTATCCCGAGAGTATTAGTCCTGCAAGGACGAAATGTTGACAGGCCTAGATCAGTGCACCTCGATTTCGGCAGGAGAATTAGTCTTGCCCTGTCTGGCCAATGTATTAGCCGCGTGAGTATGTTTAAGGCTGACGCATTCATGAGTCCCTAGAATCAGTTGCCACAAACTTAACACTTTAATGGTTTAAGTTCGAACTCTATTGTTAATCTTCCGGGCACTTAGATTTGAACTCTATTGTGAATATTCCGAGTGCTCGACCTTTGTCAAGCCTTATGCTAATCCGTTCAAATCTTATTGCTTCCCCCACGTACAAAACAGTACTCTACGGACGAAGAACATCCTTTTTGAATCGGACAGTTGCTTCATGTCTTGACTTATTCTCACATCTCTTCCTTCATAAGTCATTTAAAATTTGGATAGGCCCCGAAACCGCTTTCGCCCCTTTCGCCAAGCCACGTCGAAAATCACTGGCTTTTTCATATCTTTTCTCTTGAGGTTTCTTAGCCCGGAGCTCTCAAACACTCGAGTCATGGCATGAAAAACACAACATCGCGGCATTGAACAACAGCATCGGATCGGGTCGCAATGATCGGAATTCTTGAATCAAATGATAGTACCAGCACAAAGATCAGGACAGTAGCTTTTATAGTCTCGGCCACCATTACAGAAAAAATCACAATGGAGAAAATGGCCGTGCCTGGTTTTCTGTAGCTCCGGCGGATATCCAGAAATGCACTGCGCACTGGGCTCTTTCCTCTGTAGCTTGATCTAATTTTCGGACGATCAGCAACTAGCAAGTGGGGTCTTGATGCACGTCTTCTTCTGCATGTCAGTAGTTCACAATTTGATGGCCTGAGTTTGACGGATCGCTTGCTTGTTCTTTATATTGTGGAGAATTTCACCTACCAGCTCGGTGGAATTTCCATGCCTGGCCCTACGACCGTAACGTGGATCTCAGAAACCAATCCCGACATCTGCTCGTCTATTGATAAATGACATTGATGTTCTATCCACAATGCCTATGTCCGAAAATCCTCATTCAGACATCTCAACAAAGGAGGGATGTGTATGATAGATTTTGGACCCCATCCAGCCGCTTCATTGACTCGTGGGCAAGTAAGTCGCATCATGCCTTTTCATATAATTGGACTCAAATCCTCAAAATTTGCTGTGATGTTGATTTTCTCTTTTTCGTGGTTCCGTCATACCAGTGCAATTTTCTTTCATCATGTATATCGATATCACAGCCACATTGGACTGGCCCGTTCCTAATTACGTTAACCCCGAAAGATATGGTCCATCCATCTTCATTGTCCATGGAGTACTTTACCCCATTGTGTTGGCCATGCTGGGAATTCGCATCTATACTCGCTTGTACATCTCAAAATGTTTTGGTTTGGATGATTATTTGGCTCTCTTTAGCATGGTTAGTGTTTCCAAGTCTTCACATGTCTCAAAAGATACTAACGTAGAGCCTCAGATACCCATCACTGGTTTTGCTGTCATGAGCATTTTTGTTGAAACATATGTTGGATGGGATGTCCACGCTTGGGATGTCCCCTACGATTCACTTACTCTTGGTCTCAAATGCATCTACACAACGCAAATTCTGTTTACCCTAGCGCTCACTCCTATAAGAATCTCTATGCTGTGGCTTATTGCTCGGCTATTCGAAAATGGGGCTCCTAAACTTCGACGAGTTGCACAAGGGGTTATGATATACATGCTCTTGCACGGCTCGATTTTCGCTATTACTTTGACATTCCAGTGCAGGTGAGCATCGACCACGATACTCAGTCTAATTTTACTTGACTAACTATCCTAAAGGCCAGTCTCTGCTTACTGGGAAGTTTCCTTCAAACCCCAGCCAAATTGTATTAACCAAGAAGTCCATCTCCTCTTCACGGCCATCTGTAATGGAATAAGCGATTACATAGTTGTGATTTTACCAATGCACACAGTATGGAAATTGCAACTGCCATTCAAGCAAAGAATATCTCTCTGCATGCTTTTCGCAATTGGCTTCATCGCCTCTACCGCTAGCATCATTCGAACGGTTTACGTATGGTACTCTACATCAAACTATGATAAAACCTGGACCGCATATCCCGTTTTTATATGGAGTTCTGTAGAACTCTATCTCGGCCTCGTAAGTATAGATTCCGCCACCAATTTTCTGAATATCTCTCCTAAATAATCATCTAGTTCTGCGCATGTATACCACCAAGTGTAGGGTTCTGGAAACTCTACTACCCCAAGCTCGTTGGCACTTTCAACCGATCCGAACAAAATACATCAAAATCGAGTAAATTCTGGAGCTCAAAATCTGGATCGAAACAAGATCGAAACAATTCTCACGAACTTGTCGACACGGACGATGAAGAACGAGGTATTATCGTTGAGCGAGGCGTCACAATTGAGACTTATAATCACGCGAAGGGGGAATCTATGGGAGTCCAAGGATCGTGTACGGTGATAGATCAATCGCCTCAGTTGCCTAATTTCTCTTTCAATAATAACCATCAACGATACATATAGTTGTATTAATGTAATATCAAAGTCATTTTATTCATAATTGTCTTTTTCCTTCGAAGCGTACAGGATCTTTCCAGGTGTCCTTAGAGATATACACAGAATTTCGCAACTAGTCACAGACTAGACTCTACGGTCTTGGATCCGTTTTCTACCTCGAATCACCATTTCACTCACACTGAGTCATATATACCCTCGATCATCTGCTTTCTCTCTCTATGTATAAAAGTCCTTGATGAAGAATTCCCAAACCCCAACACACGCCTCCTCATCTACAAACCCGGCAAACTCCCCGAGAACCATAATACCAACTCTCTAGACCCAACAATCCAAAAGCGATAGAACATAGCACAAGTCGTCGAAGAAAAACGACGAACGATGTATCACCCGTCTACATAATGGCGAAGCGAGAAAACCTGCATCAGAAGTGATAATCCCACGAAAGACACGGGGACCGGCCTCTGCAAATTCATCTCCATACCCACCTCATCATATCCATTATCTCGAACACCAGAAGCGCAAAATATAAAGGTGCAATCTATATCTACGAACCCTCCTCATTATCCAGTAGAACTTATCTACGGACGGTCCTCCAATATTCTGGCCCAGAGCACACAACAATAAACTCATGTCGCTGCTTCAATTGCATCTCTACTCACTCGAGATACAGTTCGAATCATAAAATATATGAACTGTTGAAGAATTTCTCACAGCACGAGACATCAACGTAATCGGAAGATGAAACAGCGAGATGCATGTAATCCATATTTTGTTCTCAAAGCGACAGAGCTCCAGAAATACGCTATAGAATAATTAAAGCGTCCGTTCAATCAAATTCATCATCACAATGAAAGAGTACAAATCCCAGCTCCCTAGATCTACCTTTTATCTTGTAATATCTTTTCTTTTCTACCTCAATTTCGCAATTTCAATGAGAGCTATTTAAACAAACCCTTCCGCCTACCTTGAATTGATGTGATAGACTAGGAACTCAAGCCCTGGCAAACATGCGATACAGCGGAGCGAGTTTCACTCTGCTGGTTCATGTACATAACGCCTTGCTCATCTCATAATTCATCCAAAATCGTTCATTTTCTCATAGAAAATAATTCCCATTTCCACTGGCGTTAACTTCAATGATTCTTCTCCTTCCTTCAACAACCATTCGAAGCTCCACCACTCCCCACCTTCCCAACATTCGTCTCCACGGCTAAACCATTTAGAATTTCCAAATACTCTAACTGCTCCGCTCCAAAATCTACCTCAAAACCATCACCCATTGCATGTCCATTTCCTCGACTAATCCCTTCAAATCCCATTCCCGTCCTCGTCCCCACCGCAGCATATGCTTCATTACCCCCTTCTCCTCTCACGCCACACATCCCCGGTATCTCAATTCTACTCCCTTCTCTCCCCGCACCGTTCGCAAAAACTCCTCTGGCAATAGCCTTCAATTCTCTTTCTGTCCCCCTCGCACCCTCCCAAACCCCCGCCAACACCTTCGTAGCGCCCAATCCCAATCTAATCCTATCCCTAGCCATCTTCCACTCACTCGATTTTTCGGAACCCCCTTCTCTTTCCCTGCCATCTCTATTATTATACACATAAGCACAAGCACTAAGATTTGCCAGCGTTGCTTTTGTAATCCCACAAATACCAAGAGGCGTGTGCAATAATATTGGACTAGGAAGTGCATAGAGATTCATGGCCGTTTGGGCTGCCTCGATGGTTTTCTTTGTGTGGAGCCAGCGGGTCAGATCTTCGTTGCCGGTTGGTGGAGAGGTGGGTGGTGGTGGTGCGCAGCCGGAGATCTTCTCTAGTGGTGAGTGATAGAGGCGAGATAGTGGACGGTGGATAACTACTAGAAGTCTGTATCATTGGTTAAAATCGTGCGCTCACACATGATTAATTGGTGAACAGAGTTTGTTGGAGATGAAATCAACATACGTCTGCAGTAAATTTTGTGCCTGAAATAACAACTCATCGACTTCCTCATGCTTATCCACCACCCCTTGTTTCTCCACTGGTAAATGAAGTCTCCAATTCACAAGCATGGCATCGGCATTTGTAACAGCAGGCTCTAGATTTTTGCCTGTGATATCATTGATGCTAAGAATTGTACCAATGATGCGAACAAGGTCAATGAGATATGTAAAAGAGGAGAAGACTGGAATCTCGTCTTCGAAATCACGGGAGTCATAATCTGAGAGAGTGCGAGGTCGCGGAATACGCTAAGAGAAGTTTAGAATTTTCAATCATCACAAGTGTAATAGACGATAAGTGTACTAGACTATATCAGGAAAGTGGAATGACTTACTCCGCTCTCATATTCGTAGTCCTCACAGGGCAGATCTACGTGTGTTTCAATTGCAGATAAGCTAGAACGAGTCAGTACATAATCTAACTGTTGTAATTCTCCTTGTGTGGCACTCACATAAAACTAGATGCACGAGCAATACCAGAGAACACTCCATCAAGAACGTACAGTCCCCAAAAGGTCCTCCTCCAGCTCTCAGCTAATACCGGATCTCTTTCCATTTCAGCAAAAGCTCGATGATTCATACCGAGCTCTAACGCCATACATATATTTCTATCCAAAATAGCACGTGCTTGTTGTCTTTCGTCTTCGGCATGGACGGCAACGGAAAGTAGAAGTAGAGTCTGAACGCTAAAGCCATTTTGTGGTAAAGCTACTAGATCTAGTTGGCTTAAGGCTATAGCCCTGAACTCTGCCGATGGTAAATCAGGTGCAAATAGCGATCCGATATATTGCATTATGGGTAAAAGGTTGTTCAAAGAGTCTGGGCTGGATTCCAGCCTACTAAGAAAATGATGTTTTGGCATAATGTATGGATGGGCTTTGTGAAAGAAACTGTCAATCTATCAGTGATGAAAATTAAAGCAAATTCAGGTTGACAGACGTGTAATAAAGATCAATGAGCCTTTTTGAGTCCATGGGGTTAACACTGTTCAATCTGGACGAAGAGCTACCAGGACTCGGTGATGCATCAGAAACTGCTCCAGTCCACGATTCACCAGATGAGTTACCAGCATGGCTTCCTGCTAAAGTAGAATATCCTGCTTGATCTTTTACCATATACCGATCTCTAATATGCTCTTTTGCCGAGTTTTTAATTCTGGTAGCATTCTTGTCTCTCATGCCTCTTCTTGACTTTGCATAAAAGCACGGCTTGTCGTCTTGCTGACAACGACTGCATGAAGGCATTTCTGCCCCGCATTTTACATGACGACTTCGACACTGTTGAATTGTTAGTATATATGACAGCAATTAATGACTCAAAGATAGTACCGGTACACATGCTAACGAGACTCTAATACCGCCTCTGGACTCGCGGCTCTGAGTTGTCGTATGGTGTTTGTCCTGGACTTCTTGAACCGGCGTTCCATAATCAAAGAACATTGAGAGTGGATCTTCGAAGACTCTCGGCGATGGAAACTGGGATCTAAACTCCTCGGGATCCATGACGTCTGGTAATGGGGCGAATAGTCGGACGTCCGGATCTTAGTGTAACTTTGAAAAAGCTCTACGCTTTGAAAAATGAAAATATTAGATGGAACTTTACAAGTTATACAAATCGTAATAATGTACGATATTGAAGAGTCGACAGCTAGTGTGGCAAGTTGATGATCCTGATAGTTAGGCCATGGAGTAGTCTTGAGATAATCTCATAGTTGATGAAGGATTGGTTGTGTATAATGTAATCCGCGATATTGAATTAATTAACCCCTGCTCTATTTCCTTGTCTAGAAGTAAGCTTCTTTTAAATGTCAGCAGAGCGAAGCTCATGTCAGCGAAAACTTTGAGGAATCGGATGGATCAAAATCAGGCAAGGAAACTAGAAGAAATACCATCAACAATTCATTGGTGATTCTGAGCTTGGTACATTGCATTGAGATGCAAGCCACCATTGGCGATTGGCTAGGCGTGGTGATTGCTTCCGCCATCGCTCCACAAGCCAATTAGGTCAATTCTTGTCGTTCTGCCATGCATAAAACATGCATTATATCACCCAAAGGGATTTGAAGAGAATAGTAAAACCCGTTATACGGTAGAACATCCGGCGATAACTTGGTATCCCACGGCCGCGATCACCGCTCTGAGTAGTCATGGGTGTATTTTACTATCGTGCAATTGATACATACGCACCAATAATACAGCTCTACGAAAATTGAAGTCCTGGAAGAAGTTGATTCGGGGCACCATTTTTGATTGATAGCAGTGATATCTTTTTCCGCGGAAGAAGATTGCAGGAAGTCGGCTAATCATTTATTCCGACAATTTATCTAATGGAATGGGCTGTAGCGTCGATAAACTAGATTTTGGCCTCTCTTGGACTGTTCAAGTTATAGAGAATAACATCTCGTAAGTCTGGGCATGAACAGAATGGCATCCCTATGTCTGAGCCACTCAAAATCATCTGAAGAGACACCACTTGGCTGACCATTAACGATAACAAGAACTTCTTTCGGGAGGATCCTTCAGCCTTCAGCCTTGTGAGAAAGTCGAAGGCGGGGCCGCTGGAAGAAGGTTCCAAGGATGGCATGCATGACATATGAACTGTAAACTCAATCGAAGTTCCACTATCCACACGAGAGTTTCTTCGAATGGAACATTAGAGATACCTAGCTTTAAGACTACAAAAAGAGAAGTGGGAGAAGAAAAACCAGGCAGCAATGCTACAAGCGGTGAAATATCCTCTGAGCAATGTAAGCACATTGCATGTAATGCAGGAACATTGGCAAAGTTTGTAGAACGAAGATTCGTTGAAGAACGAGATGAACCTTAACAGAGCGGGAAACGAGTAACTTGGGAAAAGGTAAAACATTGCCAGGGAAGAAATTCCACCAAATTGGAATGTAACAAGATGTGTAAGATCTTATCTCACGAATTCTTACAAGTTTGTGAGTTTCTTCTTGGGACTGGGCTGAGATCTTGAAGACGAAGTGTATGGTGGAATATTGATGCCGGTATGTGGCTGCTTGTACAACAGTCAGCTTACACTTTTGTATTTTACTAATCGATTTTGCAATTTGTAATGATCCCAAAATTGACCAAAAGACTAGTGATCCACTACGACGGTGATCCCCAACTCAAGCTTCGGAAATTGTGAAGGAAGCTCATGACGGTAGCCCAAGAGATCCTTGATGCCAGTGAGATTAAGACAAGCTTATACAAATCAGAGCTGCGCACTCCTTTAATAGGACTTGAAAGATTGTAGCTCAGAAGATTTTCGACACTGGCCGTTGTTATTCTAGCAAAAAGGCACATGCCAAACAAATAAGGTAGAAAGACTATGTTCAAGGTATCGAGTATGAATGAGCGAACTGAATGCTTGAAAGGGCGCACAGCAAGTATGTATGTGCGTATGTACCTGGTAGTCACACAGGATAGCAAACCGCTGATAGCAATTCGGAAGAAGACATCCAGACAGACAGGTCCTATGATAACGGCTTTCAAAAATAATAAGAAGAGAAACAAAATATTTCTCCAATTCTAACTGACGTGACACAAAATGATTAATGTAGTAAAGTTCTAGAAATTTACAATAGCTTCTGACGCTAATCTACATTTGTCATTAGCTCACTGATCCCAAAACGGAAGGACGAGACTAACCTCGGTATCTACGTCAACACAAGCTTGCATCCTCACAATTCCACATCGCATTTTGTACCTTCTTCCAAATCAGCAAATAACTTCCGCAAGACTATTACTTATATGAAATATATACACGTCATTCAATGCCCTCTCGATGACATCCAACGATTTTATCCTCGCCCAACAGCGCCTTGCCGCTCGTCGTCAAGCTCGCGAAGTAGCAGCCCAAACCCATCTTAATCGACGACGTAACACCGCCATCTCCCAACGAGTTTCCTCTCTTCCTTTTCCCTTCTCTCAATTGGGGACTGCAGGTCTTACAACATGGGATGCGATTGCTGGACGCGAAGGAACTCGTCCTGCTTTTCGAGTCGGTCAAGTCGATGCAGAGTTATTGGATGAAGAATTATTAGACCTCTTGAAAGGGCAAGTGGGAGAAGGCTTAAAGTATTTCGGTACTCATATACAGGATGATTGGTCTGCGGAAATAATGCTGGCTCTAAGAGCTATTCTTTTCAAACTCAGTATATGGGATCATGATGCTACGTATGGAGCTACATTGCAGAATTTAAAATTCACAGATGCGCGACATTCTGGACCTGTTCTGGTATCTCCATCGAAATGGCAGAAGAGTTTATATGGTCTCTTTACTGTAGGCGGCAAGTACGCTTGGACACGTTGGGAAAATTACCTAGTCGATTCAGACAATGGGTATAGCACCCCCTCACCCCTTATGAGTCGACTCTCCCGCATCACAGACCTCTTAACAAATGTTCACTCCACCGCCGCCTTTGCATCCTTCCTCGTATTCCTCGTGAATGGCAGATACCGTACTTTACTCGATCGAATCCTACGACTCCGATTAGCACCCCCAACAAGCCAAGTCAGCCGAGAAGTATCATTCGAATATCTCAATCGCCAACTTGTATGGCACGCATTCACCGAATTTCTCCTTTTCGTCCTCCCTCTGGTCGGCATTTCTCGCTGGAGACGCTTACTCTCTCGTGCTTGGAGACGTACGAAATCAGTTTTTAACACATCATCTCCTGACGATCTTTCCATTAATGAAAAGAAAGGCGAACTTTCTTTCCTACCCGAACGTACTTGTGCTATCTGTTACCATGATCAAAATGCGCTGCAAGCAACAGAGGAAGGCGTTATGGCTGCTGCAGCTAGTACCGGTGTAATCGGGAGTGCGCAAACCGACATCACAAATCCATACGAGACGGTAGAATGCGGATGTATATATTGTTTCGTATGCATAGCCAGTAAACTGGAAGCAGAGGAGGGAGAAGGATGGACATGTTTAAGATGTGGAGAGGAAGTTAAGGGATGTAGAGCTTGGAGTGGAGATGTTGTTATTGAAGCTCTAGCCCCAGCCCCAGCTCTCGTTGTGGAAAAAGAACAACTTCCCAAGCCAAGAAAAAGCGTGGAATTCCAGGACGAGAGGATGAAAATTGTAGATCCAAAATCGGAAGATGGAGATTCATCAGATCATGATTCACAATTGGGTCAAGAGGAAGCATATGATGAAGAAGAAGATCAGGGGTTGGAGGAGTATGAGGATGAAGCGGAGTAATATGCTGTTCAGTTTGGACAGGTCGAGATAGAAAATTTAATGCTGCGGGTTGGAGATGGAGATGTCGTTTTGTGAGGTTTGCGACTTGCGGTTCGCTTGATTGATTGATTAATTGATACCAGTAGGGATGCTATGGATGGTGTATTCTTGGAGTTTGGGGGTATGGGGAAAATAATGGGATGGGTGGGTTGGAATGAGTTGGGTTAGGAAGAGATGAGATGGGATGGGATGATGAGACAAATTTATAGAATATCTTTCTTTAATGGATGAAATTATATTATGCTTCATATCGTCTGGAGGGGACAATGCACACCTGAGATCGAAATTATATACAGGTCGTCTTCTATACCTATTTTTAATAGATTATTTGAATGTAATGTATTAAATTTCTATGTAACGTAAATCTAGTCTATGTAATCTAATCTCATCGAATCTGCTCGCTCTCGAAGATATATCATCTCATCTCATCTTATTTCATCTTGATCTTCTCAAGATCTCAATATAGTACACCTGAATATAATCACGGGTATCGCTATGCCTCCCCCCTATTTCTCCCAAAACGCCAAATTGAATATGTATCCGTTTCCCGAGGCCGTGGTGCTTTCGTGTTCGTCTGCGTAGGCAGTAGGTAGGTAGTGTCTCTCATCTTTCCGCATATTATTACTACTTGGTTGTATTATAACCAGTAACCACATATCTATCGTATGCTCATCCTGCGTATCCTACCTGCGTCGTCACGCAACTGGTCAGGTACTTTCTACCTTTCTTGCTTCTTCGTGTTCTTTCATCTCATTCTGAGATTTTCATCTCGCATCCTCATCTCGCATGCTCAACTCAAGCCTTCCCCTCAAACCTCTGCATCTCCACGTCCGCAATCTGCAGCTCCCCAACCTTGGCAAACTTTCCCCTCCGCCCCCTCTCGTCTCCGTCACCCACACTCTCAAAGCAACCGCCCCCTTCACCACCGCAAAAATCAGACAAATCCCCACCGCAATCCCAAACACATACGCGGCCACCATCCCATGCTGCGCAACCTTCGGGTTCAAAAACGAATACACATATTGATGTTTCGTCGCCACCGTGACATACGCCAATCCCAAATAACAAGCCAGAATGACAATTAGCCAGAGAAGATGAATCCACGGCGGGGACGCAGTACGCGGAATACAGATTTCGAAGAGGGCGAAAAGGGAATTGAGACCGTGTTCGGAGATGTTGGACCAGGCGTCGAAGGAGGTGGGAAACCAGCCTACGGGGACCGAGACACGGAATATGACGCCCCAGAAAACGATGGTGACGAGGATGGGGTAGCAGATGATGGTGCTGTAGTAGAGGGCGTGCAGGGCTTGGAGGGGGCGCGGAAAGCGCGAGAGCAGCGGGATGCCGCTGCGCGCGTAGGTGAAGGTGTGTAGGGCGGCGAAGAAAAAGTAGAAGGATATGCCCCAGTAGCAGAGGACTGTGAGGTGGTTAGTATGGAGGGATTTCTGGGTGAGAGGAGGGGCAACGTACTGGTGAAATAAGAGAAGCTGAATCGGGCGGTTGCGCCTCCGTTGGGTAATCGAGCTATTTCCCAAAAGATGGCGAAGAGAAGGACGAAAAATGCATAGAGCGACTAGATTGAAAGAATTAGTTATTGTAATTTACATGTATATTTTACTTTAGTTTACTATCCCTCTTTCTCTCTCTCTCTTTCTCTCTACATTTTCAGAACAAGTAACTTACAATTGAAGCTCTAACAGCAAAAAGCGCCCATGGAGATACCAACCACGAAGTAACAAACCGATGACTCGGGTCCCAGACACCGTCACCAAATTTGAATACTTGAAGATTGTTGGTCGTCATGATGATTGATTGGTAAATGGATGGTATTCGTGAATAACGAATTGACAGGGAATGATTCAGTAGTAAGCAAGACTATCAGCACAGTCTCGATACGATACACAGCAGAATTCCGCTCGTCCAAAATCGTAACAAATGTATGTATAAACAATAATGCAAAACAATTTTCCCGGTCTCAAATGATCAATTTGTTCGAACTCCCACAACCCTCTCTTGTCGTAATGAAAAAAAAATGAAAAAATCCGTGTCCTCTTCTCAATTCAAAAAAAGTAAATTCGATCTTCAAGACAAAATATTCGCGAAATGTGGTGATGAATTTTGTTTCGGAAACCCCTGCAGCATAGGTACAGATTGATAAAATTCGGGGTTATAGCGCCCACTTTCGATCCCTGTATTTGTGACAAGATAGGTATTCAATGCCGATGATAGTGGATATGTGCCGGTGGATTTAAGATTGGGGTGAAAATGCTTTTTAATGTGTACTAAAATGTACAGACAGAGTACCTAGACATAAAATATTGGAAAATTGTTGGTTTTTGGAATTGTTGAATTGGCGAATATATTCTGGTGATGGAAGGACGTAATGGAATGGAAATGAGAGGGAAAAGGTTTTCTACGTGTGGTTGTAAAAGTTGATACCATATTAGATTTGCTGAACTAAAACTACTAGTATCTTGGTTGAAGAAAGCATAATTCGGTTATGTGCACTCAGGTGGTGTATCTTCCCCATACTATAGCTCAGCTACCTGTCTTCGTGCCCGCAATTCTGATATCTAGACCTGTGCTTTCTGTTCTACAGCTGTAGGATGAGATGGCATCAGTTCCAAGTACTCACAAGTAGATAAGCTGTGTGATTTGATATCGTATCGTGTTGGATGGATATTCCGTCATTTTTCTTCCAACTATCGAGTGAAGATTTACCAATAATTGGACTATTGGGGATAGTTCGAGAATTTTACCTCTCTTCCGACATTCTTCCTTAGTTGAACCATTGAATAAGACTGACTCGAAGAAATACTGGGAAAAGAAAAATTAAAATCCCACTTACCAAACGCCTGGAGTGCAAAATTTGACATACCAGACGGTTAGGCTAAGGAATTATCATTAACGTAGTTTGATCTTTCGAGTTCCAGATTGCATTGCTTCCAAGTACCGTAACAAGGGGGCAAATTTTTTAAATCTTATCTTGCCTTGTCGTCAAGAGAGCGCATTCCTCTCCGCAATAAGAGATTCCTGTGTGGATGTGGCTTTATATCTTTCGCACTGGCTAGGATGAAGACAAACGTTCCGAAATGAATATGACAAGTCGGCTTCAACGAATGTATGTGGGGGAAATGATGCTTCGTGGCGGCTCAAGAGATCTCGAAGACATCGACCCACTAGCATGCCATGAAGAGCTTGTGAAAGAATTCCACAGTTTTCGTCTTTTCAAATTGCGCCAATAGCTCAAGCAATTATTGAGCTTGAAATGTGGGATTTTGGGGCTACAATGACCTTAAGTATCCCACGACGTGGTCTTTCGTATGTTAATAGGGTGACGGAGCTCCTGATATCCATATCATTCTGCTTCTATTAGACTTGTTCCGTATAAAAGTTGTGGGTATTGGCAGAGTGGTGTCCCATCGACCTCCAAATGCGAGACATGGTCGATATTTGGCCCGTGATTCCCATGACTGAATGCCCTTCAAATCTGGCTCTCGCCAACCCAAGCCCAATATCTTCGGAGAATAAATGTTTCTATGTCTTGTTTCTGCTGCGCAATATTGAAGTTCAATTCATTGCCGAGATGAAAGCAAGTACATAGATCTTTCAATATCCGAAATTTAATTGAACGTCAATATCGACCGATAGATGATATTCGGAGAATTTGGAATGAGTACTAATCAACCGTGTCAGTAACTGAAGACGAATAAGGGGCAGATTACTGTTAACTTTTTCATATCATCTCCGAAAGGCAATAATCAATAAGGCCTTGCTGACTGGCTATGATCTTAGATTTCTAAAACGTTAATGAGCATACCCACGATATTACTTTTGAAATTCTTTGTGAGATTAGCCGTATGAAGGATTTAATGAAACTTGCTGTGCCTCGCGCAAGTAACTCTGGTTTTTCTCCGGTTCAAGACAGGCAGATTTGAGAACAAAGGTTTGAAAACGAATTGGATCTTGAGATACGACCTTCCTTTTCATCCTCTTCCGACTCATGCTTTGTGTCCAAGTTTTTGACGACTAGACACTCGGTAAAGGTTGCAAATCCTCAAAAGGGTCATGCCAGTGATGTTATAGATAGAAATCCACATGGGTCTTCATCCGAATCGAGTAACCTATCAAGGATGCTGTCCGGGGGATCATCCAAATTGGGATGTCTGTGAATGGTCTGTGTGTGCATGAATTTTCGATTTGGTGGAGACTTGAAGATATCTATCACAAAAGCTTATGGTAGAGTAGGATTCAGCGCCTCCTATTTCTTGTTATACATTTATGTGAGTCTACCTCGGCAAGTGATGGATATTCGTGGTAAAGATGTCATAGGTAAATGAGGTTCTGATGGGTGGATGAACCTCGAAATTTTCCATGAATAATGGACATCTGAGAGTACGTACGCCATAACACCATGAGGGAAGAACGATGTACTCCGTACCCTTGTCTCCGTGTCCGTCTCCTCTCCGCGATTTTCAATGATCTGCGTACATGTGCAATATCGAGTCGCGAGTTTTGTACGTACCTAGGTCGTAAGTGCTAGACTCCGCGAATAACATGGAAAGAGTAAGAGAGAAACGATGTGGCATGTGGCTTACCCGTGAGCGTTTGTCTCTCCCAAAGAAAGCAACTTCTCCTCATCTCATCCAATAGACTCTCTGTCAATGCTGAATTGAGCACATTAACCGATCAGCTTCTCCACCCCAAAAATAAGCCGGAATCTCTCAAGAACGCGCCATGCAGATTTCGCGTGGGTGGGCATTGGACAGTTCAATGCAGAGTGGGAGACAAGACAAGATAGATGGGGCGATGAGCGATGGGCGATGAGCAATGAACATAAGCCCAAACTTTAATTTCATTTCAGTCCAGTCTTCTCCTTCGGTCGATGTATGTGTCGATGTGTCGATGAGTCGATGAGCACGCAGACCCGATCAATTCTACATACAGTATAGAATAGATCGGCCATGTCGTAAATAAATTGTAGAGCTCATGGATTGGTCAATTGAAATTTTTGATCTAGAATGTAGTTGGTATGGATGATTTGTGTAAATGGATAGACCTAGGTAATGTATGTGCGAGGTAGATAATACGGGTCGAAGCATGTGTGGTATCCAAGGGAAGAAGAGACTGGAGCCAGTTGCCAAGTCGTTTACCCAGGGGAACCGTTGAAATTGATGGCAAATGATTTTCTGACTACATCGTATACGTCGATAGGAAAATCATTTTATTGATTTCATATTATTACTCCCCCCATCAAGCAACTCAATCATTCGAGAATCCCGCATTCAAACGGTTTGTGTACCTAGCCAACCCAAAGATCTACATCATGGTTTAATCAATTGGAAAAGAATGGAAAAGGGAAAATGGAACATGGAAAGTAGGAAATAGAAAGTAGAAGGTAGAAAACAGAGAGTAAAGAATAAAGAAGAAAATTGGAAAGGTAGAGCCAATAGTTCTGAACTTGGTAATAAATACAACATCTAGATTCTTCCTCTCTTCCTCTCTTCCTCTCCCCCTCCTTCTCTCTCCCCTCCAAGATCTACTTCTTGTAACTGTGTACGGAGTATTATCACATTGTGAAGAGTGCTTCATCCTGCACAAGTCACAGTCAATTCATTCAAGCTTTCCTTTTTCCCACAAGCTTCTTTACTTTTTTCCAATCTATCCACCCTGTCATCACCATCACCCGCCTCTCTTATCCCACCTTGTGAAAAGAGATAATATACACGCGGTACCGGTCCCAGGACGACAAATACAACAACGTTAACATCCACCACCCACCATTTACCTTCCCATCCACTCATCCATCCACCAGTCCTCAAATTTTACATTCCTTGCTCTTTTCCCTCCTGCCCTACTCCGAATTACATTGTATATTTTGTTTTAATTCGCGACATCAAGACTTGAAACGAAAAACCTCCGCAATCAAAGTCGATCTCATCCCGCGCATGGTCCCCTTGACTTGAAATAAATAGTGAAAGGATGAACCCAAATTCGAACTAAAGTCTTCTTCGCTTCCCTCAAAAGCCTTGTGCGATTATTATCGATAGCCTTTCCGTTTCCCACCCGTTTCTCGACGCTACTGCAACAAGTAGACAGTGGACTCTGACACAGACACCTCCTCGGTGGACTAGGGACCATTTGTAGGGGGGAGGGTAGACTAGATCACGACTGATTTGGATTGTTCACGACTGAGGAAAGCTACCTTTTCTCCATCTTCCTTGTCTTGAACATACCGGAAACTTCTGATCATTCGTATAACCCGAATTGTGGACTTCTAGAAGCGCTGTTGTACACCATCAGTGGTGCGCACTGCATCAACAGTATATTACCTCATCTACAATATCGTGGATACCAAGAATCCGGTCAATAT